AGAAAGCAAAAACACATATTCAACAAAACTTCAGCAAATAACTTTTGCTTTAAGCTTTTTTTGGTTCCACGTTGTTTGCAGATTTGGGGATTTGAACTGACAAAAGAAGCAATTTCAAGATGTCCATTCTGCTTTGGGAAAGTGTAACAGGCATATCTTTGTTTTCCAGGCAAAACAATTAACAGATGAGTCACGCTGAGTATTTTCTGTTTTGTACCTTTGTCTCACGGTGAGCTCTCTGGTCATGCTGCTGGCCTGGTACTGAATCAAATAAGGCACAAGGTCTGGACCCAACTTCACGTAGGCCCCCCTGTTGCTTCCCACGTCGTAGTAATTGGACGCAGAGAACAGAGTGAGGACCTAAGTGAAATGAAGTTAGTGTTTTAGTGCCTTTTTAACAGTTCCTCAGAGTGGAATAATTAGAAACCATGTCAGTGATCTATGTAGCTGAATTAAATTCAGGTGGGGAACTGTGGGATGATAGGAGCCTCTGTGTGCCGTCAGTGTCTCAACTCACCTTACGATTGTGGCAGAACTCATAACCTTCCTGTTTACACTCGTGGGAGCGGATGATGAGCTGCAGGTTGTGTCTATTTAGGAAGTCCTCGGTGACGTCGGGGCCCCAGTAGCAGCCTCCGCCCCTCACCTCGTTGGGGATGCAGCCGTCCTGGGTCACCGGGTCGCTCCACAGCAGGTCCAGGATCTGGAGGCACACGGGAATGGGAGACTTTAAAGACCAGAACTAAAAAGCTTAAAACAGAAGTTTGAATATTGACACACTGGGGGAACTTGGAAACAGCAATTGCATTAGCAGCTGTACTTTTTTTTTTACTTTATCACATGGTCTTCCTGTTGAGGAAAAAAGTGCACTCTCAATCTCAACTTTTAAACCAAGATGAGCATGTAAATCTACAATTTCAAGAGAACTCGGCAAATGGCAGCCGCAGAGGAAGATCATGTGATCGAAAGCTCCCATGGATAGTAATGTCGTCTTGTTTGTTGGTCGGACCTCCAGCTTCGTCGAGACTGAAATATTTCAACAACAGTTGGATGATTTTCCATTAAATCTGGTACAAGCATTCATGATGCCCAGAGAGAGGTGAATCCTCGTGACTTTGGTGATCCCCTGACCTTTCCTCTTGCTCCACCATGAGGTTGACATTTCTAGTTTCGAATGAAATGTTTCATCAACTGATGGAAGTATTTCTATTAAAGTTGTCTCATGTCTCTTTTTTGTCTCTTTAAGGATGATTTGTCATAACTTTGTTGATCCCATAATCTTTCTATCACCATCGGGTCAAAGGTTTTTGTTTGTCTAATACTTGCGGTTAGCATTTAGCTCAAACCACCCCTTTGCCTAAGTAAAGAGCCGCTAGCATGACTGTAGACTCTTAGGTCTTAAGTCACAAACGGAAATCTGTACAAATCTGTTAAATAGGAGATTTTTCACTGGAAGAGCAAAAAACATTTATATAATAATAATAATAATAATAATCCTTATTTGTAGAGCACTTTTCAAAAACAAGTTACAAAGTGCTTTAACAAGTGTAAAGAATAATACAAAAAAGATAAGAGCATGAAAATTTAATATAAAATTAGTAAAATACAATAAAATAAAAGGGATAAAATAAAGTCAAATAAGATCGGAAAAAGCTCTCCTATAAAAGTATGTTTTAAGAAGGGACTTAAAAGAGTTCACCGACTCAGCCGACCTGATTTCCTCGGGGAGGCTGTTCCAGAGCCTCGGGGCCCTGACAGAAAACGCTCTGTCCCCTTTAGTTTTCAGTCGAGACTCTCTGGAGTCTGGACAGTCTGGAGTCGATCAATAGATTTTTGGGTTAAACAGGTGAAAAGGCTGTTGCAATAATCCAGGCGTGATGAGATGAAGGCGTGTAAAATGGTCTCGGTGTCCTTAAAAGTTAACATAGATCGAATTTTAGCTATATTTCTAAGTTGATAAAAACATGATTGAACAAGCTTTGTGGTGTGCTGCTCGAAATTTAAATTACTATCAAACCAAACACCAAGGTTCTTTGCCACAGGCTTAATGTGATTTACTAGAGAACCAGCAGATGGCAGTATTTGATTTGCCATCTGCTGAGACCCGATGACCAGGATTTCTGTTTTGTCTGAGTTCAGCTGGAGGAAATTATTTGACATCCATTTTTTAACTTCACAAAGGCAGTTGTTAAGTGAACTCAGCATTCCAGGGTCTGTGGATCTGACGGGCAAGTATATTTGTGTGTCATCAGCATAAATATGAAAAGAAATGCCATGTTTATGGATAATATGTCCAAGGGGAAGCAGATACAAGGAAAACAAAATGGGTCCTAAGACAGACCCCTGAGGCACACCATATTTAACTGGACAAGACGAAGAGACATAGTTGTTTACAGACACGCAAAACTTCCTATTTGACAGGTAGGATGAAAACCATTCTAGAGCAGTACCAGAGATCCCCACCCAGTGCCTCAGTCTGTCTAACATGATGTTGTGATCAATGGTGTCAAAAGCAGCGCTAAGGTCCAGGAGTACCAGGACTGAGCACATACCTTCATCACCAATGACATTAAAAGGTCATTGGTGACTTTAAGCAGGGCAGTCTCAGTGCTGTGGTACTTCCTAAAACCAGACTGAAACTTTTCAAATAATTTGTTATTTTCCAGCACAGTGAGCAGCTGTTTGGACACAATTCTTTCTAGAATCTTTGCAATAAAAGGCAGTTTTGAAATTGGTCTAAAATTATGTGGGAGGGAGGGATCTAAACCAGGTTTCTTTAAAAGTGGGTTCACGCAAGCCGTTTTAAAATAATCAGGGACACAACCAGTAGATAGGGAGCTGTTGAAAACAGAGATCAAATGGGGCCCAACAGAATCTATTACTTTCAGTAAAAATTTTGTAGGTATTACATCAAGTGGGCCGGAGGACACTCTCATTTGTGATACTGTTTTTAAAAGCTCAGACAAGTCGATGGGATAAAACTGGTTAAAACTCTGTTGTTGCTGGTGAGGGACCTCTGAGTAAGAGGCAGTGGGGGTAATAGAGGCTCTGATTGACACCACCTTATTGGTAAAATAAGATAAAAACAATTCACAGTCATCATTACTTCCAGCTGAGGCACAAGGAGGGGTTGGGTTTACCAGCTGATCCACAGTCTTAAACAGAAACCTGGGATTGTGTTTATGTGTAGTAATGAGTTCAGAAAAATAGTGTGTTCTCGCATCCTTAACCATTTTATTGTAGTTAATTAATAAATCCTTCAGACTGAGGTAATGGACTTGGAGACTGGATTTTTTCCATCTGCGCTCTGCTTTCCTGCATTCCCTTTTGAGGCTGCGAATGCTGTCATTTATTCAGGGTTGCTTACTAGCTTTAGACGTAGGCCTAACCTTTAGAGGAGCAGTAATATTTAGTGACGACAAGCAGATATGATATATCATCTCTAATTCTTTACCGTACAGTGATACAATTCAATCCATTTAAATTTATTAAATAATATCTTGTAATTCTGTAAGTGTTTTTCAGGATCCAGTGGATTAATGCATAGGAGCACCTGAAAGCCAGGTGACAGTTCACTGACTACGCTACCCTGACTGGTTTATAACGATTGCGCATGTTTTCAACTAAACCAACAACAAGTACCGGAGCCAAATGAGAGCATTGTCTTCTACAGCCTGTGCTTAAGGTGCTGACGGACACAAAGCAGATTGAACTCACGGCAGAGGGATTAATGACGCGGTGGTTTACAGCATGTTCAGGCCCATGCAAACCACAGCACCTGCTCTGAGGCGAGTGCTGATCACTGATGGCGCGTTGATCAGGCTGTGACTCAGGACTGATTTACTCCACTGGAAGAGAGCTGAGGCACAAAGACTGTGACCTTTGACCAAGACAAAGTCACTAATTAGACATCTCATGTGGGACACTTTAAGTCCTGAGAACAACAAACAAACTAATCAACAATATCGAATGGTGACCTTCATTCCCAAATGAGATCTCCATCATATGAAAACACTGATATCTCCACTAATAAACATGCATGTAACTAAGCCTGGATTAGATTTTTTTGTCTTATGTGATATTAAAATGGTCATCTTTGGGTTTTTGAAGGGTTTGGTTGGACAAAATAAGCAGGATGCCATCCTGGGCTTCATGGTCTTCTCCAGTTGAAGATGCGGATTAAAGTTGTTGTTTTTTGTCAAGGTAATCAGCAATAATTTTACAAATACGGTTGCAATTTGAGAATTAACTGATGAAATACTGGAATTTAGGAGGCAATGTGGAAAATTAATAATATTAATTCAGCAATTTGCTGTTTTTGTTTTTTCTCCTGCCCAGGAAGATCACATTACCTGTACCTTGTATCCTACGGCTCTGCTGCCTAGCCCCCGCCAGTTTAAGTCTGCCAGCCATCTCATTCCTCATCCACTCACATCCCGCTTCCCTCCCAGTTCTCTGACTCTGTGCTTGACAGTCTAACAAATCTTTGAAACTCTCTAAGCTGTATAGAAACCATAACACTTTTATCCAATAAGGTTTATCATTTACAGTATTGGAGTCATAACTTTGGCAGCAATGTGATGTGATTACAAAGCTGCAAAACACAGACAATGCGGGATCAGTCTGCTTTTGAGCAAAAAAAATAAAATGGGATGGAAATCCATCTCAAAGAATCTGAGCAAACACTCACACACATATGTTCAACACTCATCCATCACCTGTTTCCACTCCTCGTTGGCATTGTCACAGTTGACGGGGTCAGAGGACGCGGCCATCTCTTTCTCTGGTTTGTCAGTCCCCAAGTTGAAAACGGACAGTTTTCTACTGCGGATATCCAGGTCGTCCTCCACTTTGATCCGGCTGGAGAAGTCCTGTAGCGAGCGGTTCTGGAAGTTTTGGCGCGTTCCTATGGGTTTGGGAAACGTGAGGGAGGGCCGACGCTGGCAGAGCCTGACGGTGGACCAGGCGTCCTCATCCATGTCCGAGTCGGTGGACATCCCCGCCGAGCTCTGGTATCTCTTCTTCGGAGGCCTCAGCGCTGAGACATACTGGGAAAAACAGATGAGGGCACAGATTTCAGGGACTTTCAAAAACAATGACGTGTGTCTGTGTACACGTGTCGGCCCCTCACTTTGTGTCTGTCCACTCTGGTGAGTACGCTGAGGTCTGTGGTGTCGGAGATCCCTCCGTGGAGCACAAACACCTTCTGGTCGATCACCGTTGCTAACGGCAACCAGCTAAAAATCTTCTGCAGCAGTTTCAGGATGCGTTTGCCGTGCATCTGACAGGACACACAGACAGGAAGTGACTTTCTTCATCATCTTCTTTTCTTTATGGCAGTTTATTGCCAACATTTAAGGGGGATTTCTAAATATACTGTAGATTATATTTAAGTTTGTACACTTTGTCTTTTCTTTTTTGAGGTACCCATTTGTTCTCTTTTTTCTTTAACTTGAAATCAAGCTTGAATTCCCCCACTGTCAGCACTAACTTGATGCAAAATGCAACACTCCCTGCCACAACCTGTCACAACCATTTGCACTGATAAATGAACTTATTTGAATTATCTATAGCCTATATACAAACTGAAACGTGACATGCCACTTGTTGTCGTGCCTCTGTTTTGGAAGGTTGGGGGGGGGGGGGGTTCTTTGGACCACTTTGACCTCCTGACTCATCAGAAGCCAATGGAGACAGATGTCTGCCAGTCATTTGGATTAATGACCTCAAATCCTCTTAGCTGTTAGGAGTGACCTGTGTTGTGTTGGGAACGAAACTGGCCTATATTAAGCTTTACTGGGAATGTGTAGGCGAAGATGACCGAAACTTTTTTTAATTTGCCTAAATGAGCAGGGATTAAGACACATTTTGGCTGCGCTGGCTAGTTTGATTAGCAGGAATGAGGAGTTCATCCCAAGCAGAGTGTGTTTAGGCCTTGTAGGGTTTCAGGTTTACACAATGCAAACATACCTTGTATTTTGTCAACACCTCCTTTGTGAAGCCGTACCTGTGCCACAGACACAAGATAATAGTTACATATTAAGGTTTATACTTGATACATTTGGCCAACAAGAACATGCCATTTCTGGTTTCACTGTTCCTCAGTTAGATTTTATGTCACCTCAGGTTGACTATATAGTCCTCATGGTTTCCTCTGTTGAGGTAGACGTCGCTCGGGTAGACGAGCATGAACGAAAACAGGATGATGAGGATCTCAATGGAGTCTTTGCCTCTGTCTACAAAATCTCCGTTAAACAGATAGGGTTTCTCTAAGGACGGCATGCCATTCTGTAAAGTAAACAACAGCAAAATAAAGGCTTGTTCTTGTCCTTGGGTCATTCTGTAATCTAAATGTAAACAAATGATCAGCCACAGCGCAGGGAGTGAAAACAGTGAGTTCAGATCCTGTTTCACTCTCTAATTGCTTTGTAGAGCCCAAAGACATGGGAAAACAAAGCTTGTTGCAGCTAAACATACCTATTTGTTTTAACCCAAAAAGTTAAAGTTTAGAAGGGAAACAATTGTCAGTGATTTGTCAATTAGTGGATCAAGACATAATAAATACCAATTTTGAGAATAGGTTAATCGTTCAAGTTGTTTAAGCAAGAAAAAATGTCACACATTCACTCATTTTAGTCCCTTAAATGTAAGAATTTGCAGTTTTTCTCCATTTCACGTCATTAAAAATTCTGGACTGGTCAGACACACCAAGACATTTGAAGACGTCACCATAGTGTTTTCTTTTTACATTTTATAGACTAAATAATCAATCAATGATGAAACTAAATAATTATCAGTTGCAGCACTACTGATTTACTTCAAAATAATTAAATAAAAATGAAAAGATCCTTAGTTGTGACTCTAAGTCAGATTAATTTTAGCATTTGTGAAAAGTTTTAGACAATGAGCTCCGGACCTTGTAGAAAATCAGCAGCAGGTCTTCCAATTGCCCGTGCAAATCACCTGTAACGAAAAAGATAACATGCAAATGAATGAACACAGTTCGCTGATAACAACAAACATATTGTTTCAGCATTTATATATCAGAGAGACTCAGGAATGTTTAGTTGCTGTTTATTATCAACAAAAATATTTTGGGATATATGTGCCCCACGGGCAAGTTCAGTCCTGACAATTGTTTTCTCATTTTCAATAATTTGGACTATAAAATGTCAGATGTTTTATACATTAACATTTAACATACCAGCGTGTTTCTGTCTAAAAAGCAACGATTTATTTAAAGCTCACCACAAATAGTGATTTCTTTGCTGTGGCAGGTGGAGATCCGGTTGATATTTGGCAGCATCCGGAGCCGTTTCCACGTCTCAAGCAGGAGCTGGAGGAGGTAGCGTGAGTGCAGCTGCTGCTGGCAGACAGACTTGTTAGCAAGAAGGTTTTAGTAGGAGTATTTTCTACATAGAGTAAATGCATTTTTTATCTGCAATGTTTATATCTTACTATGCTTTCAAACTTAGTCTGTTAGCCAATGATCACACATACAGACAAATAGTAAAATGTATTTTTAAAGAACCGATTACATGCCTTCATTAGATCAGACTTAAGTAGAATATGAGGATTTAAAATGCTGGTCTTGTTATTTTTGATCCAGTAAAATACAGAAAGCAGCATCTTTAAAATGATTTCCACCTCATCTTCCTGCTAAGTGTTCCTACTCCATCTGAAAGGTTTTTCAGAGACTGGCCTGTGGAACAGTGGCGTGCACCTACTTTCTTGTTCCTGAAGGCCTCCACCAGCCCGACTGCCTGCTCCACCGTCAGAGGGAAGGTGAGGTGAGGCCCAGAGTAAATCTCTGGCACCTCGATGTTCTCGTAGCTGAAGTATCTCTCCCACTCTGTGTCCCGACACACCTCGTTCTCTCTGAAGATGTGCGAGATCAAATTCCCTGGAGGTCAAGACGACAGTTCAAACTCAGAGATTCAGATTCACAAAAAAGAAAAAAGTTTTGCCAGTTGACATGGAAATCTTACGCTCATTGCTCGATGGTGTGAAATTGTCCATGAGGTAGCCGAGGAAATTATAAAGCTGCACGAGGAAGAAGACGTGAAAGATGAGCCGTTGTTTGTACCATTACTCTACAGCAAACATGCAGAAGTATACTAGATTGTCCCTGTAGTTTTCTCACCTTTATCTGAGCCTGTTCTCCAGAGTATTCGATGGACTGGAAGATGTGCCAGGTGTATCTCCGTCTCATCTCTGTGCGGGCTACATACTGACGGTACCATCGCTGAATCAGGACAGCAGCTCTTATGGCTGAAACACAAGGCACGGACAACAAGTCAGAAAATATAGAGAGGACATAAGCAGAGGTGAAGAGTACTGAACCTTGTGCACTTTACTTGAGAACTTGAGAGTTCAGAGGCAAATATTGTACTTTTTACTACACTACATTTATTTTGCTTTTACTTTGCATATTCAGATTAACAATACAAAACAAATAAATCATGATGTTTTATTGTAAGACTTGATGATTGTGGGGGAAATTAAAACAAGCTGCCCATCAGTATATAAAGTAATTCAAATAAATCCCACATTCACCAGCTGCAACACTTACTTTTGGTACTCTGTACTTAAGTAAGACTTACTTGCAACAGAGCATTTCTACACTGTAGTATTGCTGCTTTTACTTAAGGAAAATATCTGAGTATTTGTTTCACTGTTGGACATATGCAGTACACTCTAACCTACAAGAAGGGCTGTGAGATAATTCAACATTATGAATTATTATTATTAGAAAAAACTTTCAAGCAAATAAATGTAATTTGAACTCAATGTCCCGTCATCCAGAAAAAAATTTTGTCACCACTTTATTTACATCAGTTCTACTTCAGTAAAATACACAGTAATTCTTTCTTCTGCTTAGGTTGGACATTTGATCTTTCCTCTACCTGCGATGATCCAGATGCATTTGAGCTTCAACATCTGGCAAACAACAACAACAATACAACAAACAAGGCAAAGACAGGCTTACTTGTGACGGCTGCATGCAGCAGAACAGGAAGATGGAAATAAATACATATACGTTAATACAACATGTAGTATAGGGACATTACAGTTAGTGCAAAGCAAACAAAAACAAAGTACACAAGAGCTTTTTCAGGCTGAGTGGTGATGATTTATGTAAATCTGAGAACGTTAGGAGATAAAGAGGTGTGCCAGCGTCTGTTTGAAGGATCACGGTTACCTTTTCTGGAGTGTTTGTGGAACTGGTCAGACTTTGTGACGCCACATCCCATGACTGTTCCTGTTCAAAGCACACAACAATCATCACATCAGATAAAAGTGATTCTAAAATTTGGCAATAAAATCACACTTAGGTCATTCGTCTACTTGATTTATCGCATGAGCATGTCTGCAGGGTTAAAGTACTACAAATGAACTCCAAAATATTCCAGACTTCCCAAAGGGATTATATTAGTTTTTGGAGTCTCAAATCTGACTATACATTCTGCTACAGTCTTGGCCTCTAGAAAAAACCCTTTCATTGATGAAAAGTTGAGCGTGAAGCTGGAGGTCGTTCAAATGTGTGCCCTTTTAATCTCGTTATCTGCTGGCTCACTCCTCACCTCTGTGACTGACCTCAATCCTGCAGCAGAGGACTGTTTTCGTCTGAATTCCACGAAGGCTTACATTAATCAATCTATGAAACCTAGGAGGCAGGAAATAGCTTCACGACCTGAAGTTATTTTGATGACGTGGGGAAAAAAATAGGACATGGAAACAGCATATTTAAATGCCCTTCTGCTATTTTAGGTAAACAAATGAAGCCTGAATTACTGACCCAAGACTCAATAAAAGATCTGAGAGTTTAAATGTGAACTTGGTAGATTTCATCATATTGTGTTTGCACATAACTTTCTATGTTGAAGTTGTTGCCTAGTTGAAGCAACAGATGAGTGACTTTCGTCAAATATAAACAGCAGCAGGCCAAAGAAATCCAATCAGAGAAGATTTTCTGATCAACATCGTGCTTATCAAAGCACAGAACTGGACTACAAGGCAAACCTGGCGTTTTAAGTAGAGTAACTATAAGAAGTACTTGAAACCAGTATTTGAACCAGGTCTGGAAAATGAAGATATGTCCGACCTAATCAAGATCAGAAAAACACCAAAACCTAGACTTAACATCTGATTTTCTGTCTGTATGTGTTAGTTTGTGGTTTTAATACATTTATCTAACTGCTGTAATCTAAAATTTGCTACTCTAAGGTCTTAGCAGTTTACTTACGTGGTCGCCCCCTCTATCCAGTCACCTGTTCCCAAGTTGTTTGGCTGTCAGTTCTTAGTTTCAGTGAGTATTTAAACAGCCATTTACTCTGTTTCATCGTTCGCCAATCCACCAGGATCAGGTCCAAAACTGCAGGATGTCAATCACCGGTCATAGTAGGTGGATGAATGACAGCAGCGCTCAGTAACTCACCACAGAGGCCTCATGTAAGTGCAGCTCCCTCGGTCTGTGCTGAACCTGGTTTAGTCTTTAGTCCCTCGGTGTGATCACATAATCAAGGCACCAAGCCACAAGTGGATTACTTCAGCTAATGACTTGATACGACAGACTGGTCTTTATATAGAAAGATGGCAAAGTGCAGAGGTAAACGTAAGTGACCAGAGGGAGGCCAGCACTATTTTTTTGGTCTTGGTCTTGGTATTTTTTAATTACAGGTGCTTTTTTCTTTGGAGTCCGGGATTGTGTGTGGGTGTGTGGTCAGATGTGTTTGTATTTGACAGTCTATCAACAGGAATTTGTAACTTGTTTCTTATGAAATCTTGAGCCAAATGACAACCCCTCCACTTATTATCGCTGCAGTGAGTGTTGAAGTGACAGGTCTGATGTTACAGGTCTGTTCATGGCAGGCTGCAGAGAAAAGTACATCCTTGGTGCTGTGTCCCAATTCTGAAACATACACAGTAACCTATAGTAGTAGCAATTATTAATTAGGCTACTAATCTTCTGTTGAGGCTCAATTAGGCCTGATTGTTAACTTCGTCTAAAATTGTTAAAAGAATGATCATAAATGCATAAATGACGGAAAGACTGACAGAAACATGGAAAAGCAAACAAAAATTACATTTGAGACGCTGTAAGCAGCAGATTTGGGGCTTTTTTTTTTATCAAGCATTGATGAACGCCTGTCACCTGACTGGTTATCAAATTATAACTGATTAGATAATTTTCTAAAGACTAATCGGTTAATTTCGCTAACAGATTAGATTAGCTGGGCGCTAATTTCATACTTTGAGATGTAGGTTTTCAGTAGCACCATGTATTTTATGAAGTCATGTAATAGACCTCTGTGTGTTGCCAACACATCATTTTAAATCCATATCTTAATATTAAATGTGTTTTTTGAAAACCGTTGCTTTACAAACAAACCTGAACGTTCCCGTTCTTGAACACCTCCCTCACTGGACGTTTCAACGTATGGCGAAGGTGAGTTAGTTAATGTTGGTTTGTTAAAGTCAGCAGAACCAGCTGTCCTCTCTGTTATCGGGATAACTGTAATGATTTATAGAAATGTGGCAAAATGTGAATTGCTTCGTGTGCTGGGTAACAAAAATCCCTTTTAAAAATGGGGCGTGTTCGAGTTGCTCAAAAACACGATACAGTTTCACCCTGGTTAAGATAGGGCAAAGAATTGTACACAGCAGTTTTTTTGGCAGTCCTATTTAATATCTGATGCAGCAGTCCTGCAAAAAATCCTATTTTTTATAAAGGTATGTTCACCTTGTGTAACGTTAATTATTAATTTTGTATGGCATAATACTTCCTGATTTTACAACACTTATTAATTTTCCATGCTGGTTGTTTACATCTTTTAAAGTGTCATTGAGAGGACTGTAAATTATGTATGCTTTCAGGGGGTTTTGAAGCCAAAATATTGCCTTAGATTGTTTTTAGGCCTATGACAGTTTTCCATTACTAAGCTAGTTAAGTTACTTCCATGTTAGCTGACATCGTTGCTCAAGCAAACCACCAGATTGATTTTAAAGATCTTAAACGAAAGCTGTACAGGGAATCATTAAAACAGTAGTCAAACACAAAATAGGAATCAGGTCACATAATATCTGTTTTCCTCCCTTTTTCTGGGGATCGGTGCATTTTAATTGGTAGTGACTTGGTTAGATTTAAGGTCACGTCAGGTTCAGCATAGTAAATCCTAAAGACTTTATCCATGAAATTAAGACAGAAAAGACAGTAAGACTAAATATAAAATGAACACAATATCATAAAAGAGTAAAATTAAGTATAAGATAAAAATTTGGAAAAATAGTGGATTGTGGAAAATAGAATAGTAGAATTACAGCAAATCATAGCAAGTTTGCTGCTGTCAAAATGTGGCTCCACGTTGACCAGAACTAGGTGAACATATCAGCTACTGTATCAACTACCAAGAAGAAATACATTCTCGGAAAAATTTCCCAAAAAGAATCATTTGAGACTCAGTCAACAGTATCTGTTAAGTATCCTCAGAGAGCATCTGACCAGCAAGCTCGTCATCCTATTTATCTACATTTTGAACACAAAATCCGTCAGATGACAAACTCCTAAGAGAGGGCTTCATTATTGCACCATAATAATCATTTTTTACACTTGAACTTGAAACAGGAAGGGAACCTCCCCGCAGTTAGTGTGAGAGCATTTAACACGTTGTCCTTTTATCAACCCTGACTTAGCTCTGTGTGTCAAGAGTCTGAGGATGAAGATCGCTGTGCTGGGAGCCACTGGGCAGACTGGACAGTATCTGGTCAACCAGGCGCTGCAGCAGGGTCACACGGTCACCGCCATTGTCAGGAACCCAGGAAAACTCACCGTACAGCATGACAACCTCAAGGTAAAGCAACACTGATTTTGTTAGCTGTAGACACATTTCTATTGTGCTGCTGCTCTCTGCATGTTGGGTTCAAAGTTCAGTCTGTGAGACCGTTTGAATGTTTTAGTGTCCAAATGATAATAAGTAAATTTGACAGATTACAAAATGGAGGAACAGAGAGAAAATAGCGAGGGACAAAGAAGAAACAGGCTAGAGAAAAAGACAAAAAGTGTCCAAAGTATGAGGTAATGTCAAGCTAAAAGAACAACTCTGTGTGTCTACTGTAAAAAACGAACTAACCGCCCACAACAGCACGATGGCAATGCTTCAGCGCCTGAGCAAAAAGCATCCAGTCTACGCAGTGACTCCAAGGAGTGGACCCGAAACAAGGTGACAGTACTGTTAGCATTTAACGGAAATCATGATTGCTAGTTGACATGAAGAACTGCAAAGGTATGGCACAATTCTTAGTTGTAAATGTGTAACAGTACGTTTGTTGTCATTGTTCTCCGACTGGTTAGTCCGTGAGTTTGGATTGTAACGTTACAGTGAGATGAGTTACCTAGTTGATCCCAGAACCGCAGGCACTAAGCAAAATAATTTCTTTTACTTCCAGTTACTCGATGAATTGATGGAATAATCTGTAGAATACTAAAATAATCAATAGCTTTAGACCTGCTCTTTATTTTATTTTGTCTTCTGTCCTTTCCCTTTTTGGCTGTTTCTCGGCCATCCCTCCTCCTTCACAGTTCCTGGAGTCCAGCACATTGTGCCGGTGTATAGAACTCTCTCTCCCACTACCCCCCTCCCCCCATCACTCCGGTGCACAAGTACTAACTGTTGCTAATTGGCTGGAACAATGCTGCGTGGCACGGTCCTTACCACTTTCTTTGTTCTTTGTTTTCCATTTACAGAGCCACAGCTGTGTAGGACAAAAGTTTTTTTTTTTCAGAGCACACACAAACCATGAGGAAATATTTACTGAATTTAACAAAAAGTGTTTTGGATTACAATCACTCACTGTCCCTTTACCAGCAAGCAAAAAAAATCTACAAGGAGGTCATTCACTGCTCCTGATCTGTGTTAATTGAACTATACATATATTATTTGTGTATCGCTGCTTTTAGGTGGTGGAAGCTGATATTTTCTCAGCAGAAACTCTGGAGACTCATTTCAAAGGACAGGATGCGATCATGTCCTGCCTCGGCTTCCCAGCCTCCTTCTTTTCGGCGGTGACAGGCTACACCGCGTCCATGAACGCTATGATCAGGGCCATGCGAGAAGCCCGAGTCAACAGGATCATCACTATGACCTCCTGGTACACTGACCGTAAGTCAAGCCGAATCAAACTTATAGCTACTTCATTGTGAACGTTGGCTTGTCGCTGCGTTGCATTGTGGTGTAATGAGGCTGTTACAGAATTTGATATCAAATTATTTTCTTCAAGAAGTTTGTCCTTACTTTTTGCTCAGAAGTGGGCCAAGCATCTACACTGCGTGCACAATTATTAGGCAAATTGTAATCTTCAGTATATATTTTATTGTTGAACAAACACAATGCTCTCAGTCAATCCAAAATATAATTGAACCTCAAACCTGAATGTTTAACTATAGAAAGTTAGTTTTGTCTTGCTCTGCAGACTATATACACACTATTTTGCCAACAGTTTTGGGACGCCTGCCTTTACATGCACATGATGGTTAATGACATCTCATTCGTAATCCATAGGGTTTAATATTGAGTTGAAGCTGTTATAGCTGCACTCTTTGCAGCTATAACAGCTTCAGCTCCAACTTGGACAAGAAGGCCTGTCTCGCAGTCTCCGCTCTAATTCATCCCAAAGGTGTTCTGTCCCAGACTCGTCCTTATTGGATTGCCAGACAGAGAAGCGTGATTCGTCACTCCAGAGAACAAGTCTCCACTGCTCTAGTGTTCACCAAAACAAATTTAGTTTAAGTTAAGTTTTTAATTCTGTGGGAAAATCTGTTACATAAAATTGGTCTTCACATCAAAGGATTGTCATCAGAAGGAAAAGTTTTTTCTGTGCACCTTCTTGGTGCAATGTGAGACATTTAAGAAAATAATTTCTCTGTTTCATTACGTTTTCTGTTGTTGTTAGCTAACTCTGGAACGCAGTCATCTTATCTCATCCGGTTCCTCCTGCTGCCGATCATCCGAAGCGTTCTCACCAACATGCATGAGATGGAGCAGTCTCTGCAGAAGACTGAGGACATCAACTGGACTGTGGTTCGCCCACCTGGTCTCAAGAACCTGCCTGCCTCAGGTAAAAGCAGTGGCCAACAGTGGGCAGAACCACACCTATGAACAGACCCAAAAACATTTATTTAACATGGAGGCTGTCAGGGTGGCGCCACCAAGAACAGCAGAGCGTCATTCAGCAAAGCGTTTGCCCCTGCCTCGGGATCCATTTTGACATAGTTCAAGCTTATTAGCATGCGCTCTGATTACTTAATGCAGTGTTTATGAGAATGAATGGTTTGATTGTGTGTGAATGCCTTTCCTTTCCTTGTGGTTTCAGCATGTAACTTCACTACCCGAAGGAACAAATTGAAAATGCTGTTGTTGTAATGCCTCGGTTTTAACATCCATGTGTCCTCCACAGCTGAAGAGTTTCTGACCCATGAGGGATACTTTGTGCCCGACAGCAGCGGTCGCCCTGCAGGCAGCGCAGTGGGGAGAGGAGACGTGGCTCGCTTCATGCTCTCCCTGCTCAACAGCAACGCCTGGATCAAGAAGGGAGTCGCAATGACTACCAAATGAGAAAGAAGAGACAAAGGGTCGGTACCCTAAGTACAAAAAAACAATATTTACTCACCAACCTCTTAGTGGTATCTAACCATGCAGATACCACCAGCTTTTCTTAAATTTGAGATATTGGCCTTTGAGATTTTTGCCTCCACCCCAATACAAAAGAGGTAGATGGAAGTTTTTTACACTGTACACTAGCTAAAATTTTTTTATTAATAAGCCAAATTAATAAGTTATTACTGCTGTAAACTTCAACACTGTGTTTCCATTACTCTGGATTATCCCACAGACCGCACAGTAACAGTTTTCATTGGCACTACTTTTAATCCAAGAACCAGTCCCTGTGGAAACTGTTGATTGCACGTTGAGTGCAGACTAACGAGGACATCACTTCTAAAAATGTTTTTTTTAATGTTTCAATGCTGCGACCACTACAAACAACATCATGAACCTCCAGGCAAATAAAGCCAAAAATATCTTTATGGTTAGACAGACTAGAGCTACAGGGGAAAAAACATTTTTTCGGGTTAACTGGTCCTTTAACAAACTGTGCAACTGTGCCATTTATTTCCTGCCATCACACGCTACTATTGGATATACTGTAATGGTATAACTGCTTTATATAGCCTTATCTGTCTTAGATATGTATTTCTATTTATCAGATTCTTGTTTGTATTAGTTTGAAAACCATCAATGAGTGTACCATTTTATTAGACCGGTGTTTCTGCTGATAGCAGTACACAAAAGAGAAAGTCAGCTGGATTTACAACATGTCCGTTTGCTTTTGTACTCGAAAACTATTAGTTGATATTTCAGAATGAATGAAGCTCTTCATACTGTTGTGCCATGTATTCACATGAGGACTTTATATTCAAATATGTGCTGTATCAGTTCTGTTAAATAAACACAAAATAATGAAACTGTGAGACAGTTTTGGGCCTTTGGAAATCCTGGGTGGTTTATCAATCCCTTTGACTTCTGATTTAAGCTTACAAGAAGATCTCGAATGCAGAACCATGCTTGTATACAATTTAATCTACCATAGTTGAATGTTTCAAGGTTTCAAAATATCAGAATTCATCAGTATTTAAAGAGCAAACAGACACGTAATCATATGTGGCAGAAAATGCTTGTTGGACTGATGAGTTCAGTTTTTTAAGATTGCAACACTTGGGGCCACACACACACATCTGTGATGTAAAAGCAGGTGATATAGAGGAAACATAGACAAATAAAAGTTACAGTTTAAACTGAATGAATGTCTGTGACAAATTTCATGGCAAACCATCCAATAGATCTCCAAAGTCATTACCCTAAACTCCTAACATAAATCAAATGACAACAACAACAAAAAAATGGTTTGGTCAGTCTTTCAAATCACTCACTTTTTGCTGACAATCAAGAAACATCTATCACAAAATAAACATTGTACACTGAGAAGCACTGAGATGTACTTGTTCAAACATCACCTCCGGTCTTGAGGGAATGTCTGCAGCTTTGCCAGATGGGGATTGTTTTATGTACACAACATGAGACTGGAAACTTGCAATTAATTAAATATTTACATACATGTATCCTGGTGCTTCAAAAATAAAATACATTATGCTTATGATCAAGAGGAGAGTCTTTCAGGCCAGGCAAGTTAACTGGCCGATATGTTGACGGAAACCATCCAATGTGGCTTTGGTACTGAGTGATACTTTACAATTAACCTGTATATGCTGTTCAGTAAATGGCAAGATTATGGCTCTGATTTGGATGTTTTTTTTATTTACAAAGCGTGCACAGCTGCTGTGAAACCATATGTACATTTAACAGCTTAAAACTGCATTGTGGAACGTTTGTCTCCCCTTCTGTCAGTGAGAGTAATTACACAAACACTGCCGACGTTCAGAAATAGTAAAGTTAAGAAGAATATTGAGGTATTTCCACAGTCGCAAGAAATTTATCTGTTATCTACAGGTGCTGGTCATATAATTAGAATATCATCAAAAAGTTGATTTATTTCAGTAATTCCATTCAAAAAGTGAAACTTGTATAATGTATACATTCATTCCACACAGACTGATATATTTCAAGTGTTCATTCCTTTTAATTTTGATGATTATAACTGACAACTATTGAAAACCCCAAAATCAGTATCTCAGAAAATTAGAATATTGTGAAAAGGTTCAATATTGAAGACACCTGGTGCCACACTCTAATCAGCTAATTAACTCAAAACACCTGCAAAGGCCTTTAAATGGTCTCTCAGTCTAGTTCTGTAGGCTACACTATCATGGGGAAGACTGCTGACTGGGGAAGACGACCATTGACACCTTGCACAAGGAGGGCAAGACACAAAAGGTCATTGCTAAAGAGGCTGGCTGTTCACAGAGCTCTGTGTCCAAGCACATTAATAGAGAGGCGAAGGGAAGGAAAAGATGTGGTAGAAAAAAGTTTTCATTAGTTGTCAGTTTTAATCATCACAATTAAATGAAGTAAACATTTAAAATATATCAGTCTGTATGTAATGAATGAATATAATATCCAAGTTTCACTTTTTGAATGGAATTACTGAAATAAATCTACTTTTTGATGATATTCTAATTATATGACCAGCACCTGTAGGTAGAGTAAATGCAATAGCGACATAGCTTCCTCCAAATATTTTACAAAAGCAGTGTCTGGACATGCGGGTCTGCCCTCAGTCCCTTCCCTCACCTACATTGCAAAATTTCCATTCAATTCAAGTGGATTTATTGGCATTACTTCATACACCGTTGTAAAGCATATTATTAGTACAAACTATACAAAACAAATCATAAAGCTTCTCTCCAATGGATCATTTTTTTACACCATTTGTGGAGCTATCTACATGGCTCTGGGTTGCTCCTGGCAAACCAATCATTGCTGGTTGACGTACAACGCATCATTACTGTACCCCTGCGCGGGGATTGTCGCCACAGACACGAGGGGCGAGTTCAGCTAAACGCTCGCTAAACGTTTTTTTCCAACAGAAACGGTGGTGCCTTGAACACCCTGCTGTGTACGCAAGCGCACTGCATTTTCCTGCTTTTTTAGTGTTCACAAACTTGTCGCAGCTGATTGAGCAACACCTGAGACACTCCCACCAAACAGAAGAAAACATACCTCGAAGCCCGTTGCGGAACGTTGCAAGGAAACATGTCGTTCAATCTGAAAACGTTGCAAACCAGTGCGAAACGTTTTGAGATTGAACTCGCCCCTGGGCTGACTGCAGTGCTTTATGGTTCAGTAAAGTGCCAAATCCGTACCGCCAGCAAGATCCGTTTTGCACATGCGCATATCGAGATAACAATTTTTTTTTAATCATTGGAGATGAAAGTGTTCACTATGATGTAATAAGAATAAACTTTAGATATGAAAAAGCTTATTCAACAGTACATTTTTAATTGACAACACTAACAATGTAGCAACACAAAGGAGGCTAACCCTAGCTGCTAGCATGGCAGATGTAGGGCACAGCTGTAGGGTTAGGCGGTCGACATGCATACAATCGCTGACTAGGCACACACCCCTGTGATGGTTAGGGTTAGGTGCTTTGGGAAGCTGTCAACGCCTTTTATACTAACGTAGCTAGCGCTTCCGGTCATGACCATCTCATAAAGACATCAAATAACGCTTTGTCAGCCTTTCTGAAAGCGTCACTATTTGAGAACAGACAACAACACACAAATAATTATGAAAAGGCACATTTGTTGTAACCTTCTTTGACAGAGAGGACCACTTTTGTGCAGAAGAGATCTTGCTGGTGGCACGGATTTGGCACTGACATTCAGCGCAGACAAAAGCAAAACAAGCCCCAACAAAACACGAAGTACGTAATAAATTTTACCCAGCAGTGATAGGCTTAATCATTGTGTGAACTAGTTTGTATTTGGCAAGGGCTTAAATGTAAGAGACGTCATAACAGCATCTATTCCATTAAATACAACAACAATCAGAATCAAGATTTGTTTCCCCTTAAATCACAGACCTCTTCCACTTTTAACATTCAGGTGAAAAGAGGTTTACACATTTCTCAGCATGACGTCTGGGCACAACACAATGTTCGTAAACATGCTTCAAAGTTTCTTCCCTATTGTCTCATCTCTGTGCAGCTCAGTCTAGTTTTCCTTTTCCACTGCATACATTTCGTTTATTTTCTCCTGGTACATCTTCACAACAATGGGCCGCCTCAGTTTCATGGTGGGTCCTGCACAGACAAAAAAAAGAACACTGTATTAAGCAGATGTTAATCTGCTGAGCGACACCCGCACAAAGATAACATCTGATCCACTGTAGCCATGAAACCCTTTCTGAGGGAGAGATTCATTCGCTAGTGAACAACCTTCACCAGAATGTTGTCTGGCATGCGGCACAGTGACAAGGCATGTCTGATTGCGACATGGCCTTGATTAAAAGCTGAGTAAACTTACAAGTACGGTAAAAAGTGATTCCTCGTTCTTTTTGGGTGTAGGTTTTTGTTCCAGGAAGCAAAACAAAACACCACAAAACTCACCCAGCTCTCCTCCACTGATAGAGAAGTCTCGCTCCAGTATCACCCACTTCTGGATTTTCTGGGCGTTGGAGGTCGCTCTGGCATTGACCCGCTCCAAGCCCTCCTGAATGGCTTTGTAGATAGCTGGCTCCTTAATGGCTATGATCTCCGACACCTTGGTTGCTGTGACGCCGTGCTGCTGGCAGAAGTCTAAAACCTCGGGACTCAGCTTGTCTGTGGGCTCGCCATTGTCGTCTATGACACACTGTGGAAAAAGGGAGGGTCATTATTGTGTTCGTTTTATTCAATTATTAGCTGCGACTGTCTGCAGGAACGGAGACTCGGTTACTTTAAGAGTGAGCAGCATGGAGAGGAACTTGAGCTTGTCTCCAATCAGCATGGTGTTGCTGATGATGGGCACCTCAGCCTTCAATGCGTCCTCAATGGGCACAGGAGGGATGTTCTCTCCACCTGCAGTGATGATCAGCTCTGGGCAAAAAAAGACCGTTTAGTTGTAAAAGTGTGGCACTTGTTTGCCAATATTCAGAATGTAATTAGGGATCCAAGCAGCGAAGAGTCAATCTTATTTCATTATTTTAATATCTGGATTCATCTGCATCTTTGCTCCAATGGTCTTCTGCTCTAAAAATGTCAAATTATACGACTTTTATCTCTTTTCTCTAAAACCTATTTTTGCAAACTCGTCCCAGTCGGTTTTGTCCAGTCGACCTGTAACTTTGGCAGGATCATCTACGGACATCGCTAATCAAAAGTTTTTTTTCATAAATTTTTACTTATGTGTCTTTATGTATAATTTTACATAAATTGGCCATAAATCAAAATTGGCTTAAGCTATTGTAACCAAACTCGGCGCGTCTGTTCAAATGCTCGGCCCGAGCTTTGCTGAGCAGTCCTGGGATATTCTTCCACTAGGTGGCTCTACACTTGCAAAAAGTTTATACCTCGTAATTCACTGGATGTATTCGTATGAAACCTGGTTTGTACGATCTCAGGTCCCTACTCAGTAGAGGAAAAAAATTTGGTAATGATTGTGCAAAGTGGGCGTGGCTTATTATTACAAGAAATGTAAAATTCTAGACATTTCTCATTCCTAAATTCACAAAATCTAAGAAAATCATCCGTACGTCATAGAGAGCTAAAACCTTTTCAGCACATCCACTGATTTGTGATTAACGTTTGCTTCACTGCAACCTATGGTCAATTCAGAAGTCAGTCCCTCTATATTTTTCAGAATATGCTAATTCAATTAACATCTAAATCTCCACAAGTCTTTCTTCAAACACTACCAAACTCGACAGAGTCGTTCTCCAGATGGCCAATATCAAGTGTTTCAAAGGGTTTTCAGATCGATCAAACGGTGAGTCTGCAGTGATATTCAGTATCTTGCTGTAACTTGTACAGTATGCACAACATTTTCTTTTTAACTTAGTTTTGGATCAAATGCCACCAAAATAATTAACAACACACCCAAAACCAGCAGAATGATGTGTAATTTTTTTCAGAATTATGTCACCTGCATCTTGACTGTTGTAAGCATTTTAAGTTTAAACTGACAACACTATCTGGCTCTGGCACATGTGACATCACCACCTCAACTTGTGGGAAAACATCCTCTCACCAGTAGCTCAGTCAGTAAGTCACCTGCTCTAGAGATCTGCAGGTCCAGGGTTTAAATCCCCAGTTGACTTGCTGACAAATGGGGGTGTTCCAATCATAGCAGTTGTCTATTTTATTTGGATCCCATGACACTTTCTTCATATTTTTCTCTGCTTAAAAGTGTTTGTGCAGCTTAAACTGTAAATCTTGGAAACACAAAATGTCGCAGGTGGGTTGAACATTTCACCCAGTAGTCAGGTACATGTAATGACAGACTCTGATCTCAAGGCAATGCTGTAAAAATTAAGTTTGCCTTTCCGTAATTATATATAAAAAATGTCCAGATTCTTTCATCTTCTTAATCTCTTAAGTCATCTGTTCTTCTCCTCTGAAAACGTCAAATGTTGTGTTTTTGGCGACTGGCTTGGATCCCGATCACTGCCGCTTGCGGCTATATTCTTGGAATTAATGCAAGGTTTTGTCAAGGTCACTGTGTTTTGTGTTGTTTTCCTGGATTTGTCTTTTTAAGAAAAATTAGCCATGGCAAAATATTCTGCTATTATCAAGTTATCACCCCACTAACTTCCTTTCACTACAAACTAACCTAATAAGACAAAAAAGTGAAGAGCAAGTCTCTCTAAAGGAACGTGTTTTAGCTTTGGATAAAAAATAGAAAAGTGCACTTGCATGTGCCATTTTGTCATTGTAGAAGTGAGATAGGAGCCTAATGTTTGTAGTGCTGAAATGATTAGTCGAAGAGTTTATAGGAAATTTAGTAATTAAATTAGTACATTTATTTATCAAGCAAAAATGCATTTGCTGGATCAAGCTTCTTAAATGTGAGGATTTGAAGTCTAATTGTAAATTATGCTGCAACCTCATCATATTGCATAATAATAATAATAATTAATTATGAGTTCCCATCAAGTAACTTCTACTTAAGGAAGTAGTACTAATACAACAATGTATACTCTACAATACTCTACAAGTTGAAGTCAAAATCTTACTTAGGTAAAAGCACAGACTATAATATATTATATATTACAATATTAGATTGTTAATACTTGCATCAATGTGTACTGTTGTAGCTGGTCGAGATTGTTTTAACTACTTTATATACAGTTTGGTAGTCCTGAGCACTCCGACCTAAGGGGTCAAACGCCTCAAACTGTAATTTTAATGACTCGATCTGAGGAGACACTGTTTCTTTTGTGAGGACTGACAACCAGAAAGGTTTCGGAACGAGTATATACAACAGTGTGTTGTATTTCATAACAGAGCGAGACCGATAAATCATTCAGGCCGAATTATCGGTATCTTTGTAAATTTAGGCAGATAAGTAACAAGAAACAGCAGTTCAGAAACACCATACTAGATTTGAGGTAATTTAGAAACTCAGTATATACTGTATGTTGGTCTGAAAAAACAATTGGATGGAGATCCCAAATTTGAGTCTAAAAAGTAACTAATGACTCTAGCTATCATATAAATGTGGTGGAGTAAAAAGTGCAATATTTTGCTCTAAAATGTGAGTTAAAGTACCAAGTTGCATAAAATGGAAGTGCAAGAAAATACTGAAAAATACTTAAGTAGGGCCTACATACATTAAAAAACTGAATAAATGTAATTTGATACTGTCCACCACTGACTCTTGATGTCCTAAATGCTCACATCTTTGTTTCGACCAAACACCAAAAAAGCTGACAAAGATGAGTAAACATGTACAAATCCATGTTTCATACCAAAAGTGCTTCTAGCAGCCATTTGTCAGAAAATGCAAAGAGGCTTTTCTGACTACAGCTCACCCTTGATCCTTCCCGTGATGTACAGAAAGCCATGCTGGTCATGTCTTCCCAGATCTCCAGAGTGCAGCCAGCCGTCCTCGTCAAGAGCCTCTGCAGTTTTTTCAGGTGAGTTCAGGTAGCCCATGAAGACGTGCCGACCCCAGAAACATATCTCTCCACTCCCGTCCTTATCTGGGTTCTCCAGCTTGGTCATGCAGCCTGGCATCACCTTTCCACAGCTGGACAGACAAATCATAAGTCAACAGCACGCCCATTTAGACCTGATGTGACCTGATGCTGACCAAAAGTTGCACTGCAACCCACTGCACCCCAACTTTGAAGTTTAGCACAAAGAACTGAGATAACATAATGTCAGTAAACTATGAAAAACATTTTCAGGTAAAAATAAACAAACCTGTCTGATTTGTGATAATTTAAAGCAATGATCCCCATCTTTTTTTGGCTTGTGACTTTTTGTAAACAACTAAAAGTCTGCTATCAATCCCCCAAGATGAGTTATAATAATAAAAACTTAATTTGTATATCAAATTCTTGCAAAGAGGCAGCCCAGAGTGTTTACAAAACAGGATTAGAACATTTAGAAACCTGATGAGGAGCAGAAACTACAGAAAAGTAAAAAAAACAGTGTATAGTATATTGTACAATATATTGTACCGTGTATTCTGTATAGGTTTCTTCCAACTCTTCTCTGAAGCTATATGATGTTAACACTGAGTAAAATATTCAAATCTGAGACTCCATTAAATGTATGTATTCTAGATGTCATGCGCGTGCACATTTCCCCAAATATCAACTTGACATTTTGGTATCTTTGAAAACCTTGGGATCTCCTCTGGAGAGTCCATTAAGACAAAGTTAGCAACTACCTGGTGAACATAGTGGAGCATTTAGCAGCAAAGATACACATGTTTCCCTTAGAAAATGGTGGAGACCAAACCAGAGCTACAAGGAAAATGAGTATTGGACTCACATTCATCAGGTGCCCTGAAACACAACATTAAAAGAAGGCTAACATGGCTCTGCATCTACTACATGTATAAAGTGTTTGCAAGTCTGCCATACCAACTTTATAAGGTGATAACGTGTCAGTCTGGCGATTAGAGTTGACCCCTAGCTGCTTTGAAAGCTGTTTGGCCACGTTCTTAGATACTGTTTTTTACCTTTACACAGAAAAGTTCCCCGGGCTGGGATCCTACTTTTTCGTTTAGGATGAAATCTATAACAATAGTGCAAAGTGTAACTTTTAAAAAAGTGCACTGAAGTGACTCGGACAACGTTGAATCGGTATTTAACATGGTCTCACTCACTATGGATGGTTAAAAAAAGGATCAACATTGTTGCATTCTTCTAATGTGTCAAAATATTGCACCTACATTACCCACAATGCAACACGGCAGCCAACAGTTCGGTCAGACATTTGGGTGTGTTATGCTAGTAGCTGCTAATGTAGCCTCGAGCTGCTAGCCACAAACAGTAAGCTCACTTCTTTCTCCACACTGCCAGATATGTTTCATTTTCAAACTTGTAGTCTTCAGCCCCAACCCACGTTGACTTAAGTGACATCACTTGTAAACAGAAATGTGAAAAAAAAAACTGTGCACATCCCCTTTAGGTAAACTTTTATACATATATATATAAAAATACAAGTTTGTTCATTCTCACACCCATAACAACAACACGTTTTAATTACAGCTGTCACGTTCCATAATGCTTTGCTGCTGACCTTGTGATGCGGTATTCATTGTTATGGGAGACGCTGTGTGGGCCGGAGCTTTCACTCATGCCGTACAGCTCTAACACAGGGATGTTCAGGCTCATGAAGAACTCCAAAGTTTCTTTGGTGATGGGGGCAGCGCCTGTGAAGCAGTACTTGCAGCGGTCTAAGCCCAGCGCAGCACGCACCTTCTTAAAGACCAGATTATTAGCCAGCATGAAGCCCCACGGCACCAGATTCTCCCTGTAACCCAAAAGATGAAGGAAGTTACATTTTGGAGGTTCAGGTTTGTTAGGAATTAAGACCTGGGGCCCAGAATAAAACATCACAGAAATCGAATGTCAGTCTGTCCGTTAGTCCACCACTTTGGCCCAGAAACAAATATCTCACCAACTGTTGCTATAAATTTTTGGACAGACATCATGATGCACTGAGCTCCTCTCTCCTCCTCTTTTTATCCTTCTTTATGCAACCTCATCCCAATAATGCATGTTACTAACTTGATTTCTTCCCTTTCCCGTAGTCTTTTGCTTTCTCGTCCCTCTCCTCTCTCCTCCTATCACTTCCTGCAGGCTCTGGCGAAGTTCAGTTGGATCTGTTTTTGCTGCTGTTTTTGACCTGTCACCTGCTGTTCCCATGTTCCTGCTTGACACCCTCTGCTACAATTATTGCTGCTAGTCCTATTGTTATTATTATTTATATTATTATCATTAACATTACTATAAATATCTGTACCATTATTCATTCAGTCTGTAGCAACATTACCTTTATTGTCTGTATATTTTCCCTCTCTCCCTCTTTATGGCTGTTGCTCTCTCTCTCTCTCTCTTGCTTTCTCTCTCTCTCTCTCTCTCCTTCTCCCCCAACCGGTCGAGGCAGATGGCCGCCCACCCTGAGCCATGGTTCTGCTCGAGGTTTCTGCCTCTAAAAGGAAGGTTTTCCTTGACTCTGTCGCCTAGTGCTTGCTCTTGGTGGGAATTGTTGGGCTTCTGTAAACAACATCACAGAGTACGGTCTAGACCTGCTCTTTTATGAAAAGCACTGTGAGATAACTGTTGTTGTGAATTGGCGCTATATAAATAAAATTGAATTGAATTCAATCAGTCAATAACTGCTGGATGGATTGCCATGAAGGATGAATTGTAACCACATTGGTTATCCCCTTACTTTAAAACAAGCGGCATCATTGGGTCAAAATTTTAAATTATCCAACACTATGGTGCACATAGCATTCGACAAAGAAAAAATGGAATCTGAATCTCTTAATTATGACTTACTATCTCATAATCTCATTATTACAAGAAAATATTTCATAATTTACAAGATAACAGGTGTTACAGCGTATTCTGTGACCTGATCGAAAGTGATAGCTCTGTTGCCGTTACAAATCAGCATATCTAATATCTTAATATAAAGAGTCACAATTTGTGACGTGATTACTCAGTAATTATCTCAAACTGTCATAAACCAGGGAGGAAATAAAAGGGAATTCAATCAGGTTGTGCCATCATACCTTTGTCTTCTCGAATAGTGATGATTTATCTACTTTGACCTTTTTCTCATAATCACAAGATACTCTTCTCGAGATCATGAGATCCAGATCTTGCAATTATGAGACTAACAGACTGTAATAATCACACAGAGAAACTGTGCAGTACCATATCACCACTGGATAAGAGGTGGCATCGTTACCAACAAACACCTGACATGTGATCGTGCTGAATTCTATCAAAGGTTTTTGTCTCACCCGTTCATGACACTGTAGTTGTACTGCAGGCCTATGGACTTGGCCCAGGCCGCCACTCTCCTCCTCAGTGGGGATGCCTTCGCTCCGACAGCTTTCATCTTCTCCTGCATCTTCTCCCACACACGAGGAACCCCAAGGAAACAAGTTGGACGAGCCTCTTTCAGTGTGTTTCCTAATGAGCCCTGCAAAAAAAAGAATGGGGATAATAGTCAGAATAGGAAACCTTCATTATTAATTTAATGTGTTATACAACATAAGGCACTCTTACCTTCAGTGCATCTGGCTCTGCAAAGTAGGTGGTCACGGCATAACTAAGACACATCCATATGTCAAAGAGCTGGGCTGCCACGTGGCTGAGGGGCAGGTAACTGACCACCACCTCCTCCCCGGGGCAAATATCTACCATGTTAACTGCCGTGCGGCTTGTCCATGTCAGCTGCACAATAAAGAGTGGGAAAGGAGTCATCAGAGAGTTTTTTATTCAAACACGGTTCTTGAATTTTCACAATACAAATTAGCAAACAAACTGCTCACACATTCTCACCCACTGCACACACCAACACAGCCTGCATCTGTTCTACACATGCATTATATAAAAAGAAGGTTTGCAGATCTCATAAAAGTTTGGTTGAGCCAATAGCAGTATGGTTTTTGGCTTTTCAAGTTTGAGGTATGTCTTTAAATCCATCAATAAGCATTTATGAGCTGGTTATGAGCAGTTTATGGGTATCCTATGCTGTACTCTAAACTGCAGGAGTATGATGGATATCAATGAGGAATAACTGCAAAGACATTTCTGATATTAGTGAGCCCGGTTCCTTTTCCCATTGCAGCCTCATGTGGTCTAATGAAGGAGGTACAGCTGAATGAACTCTGGTGGTATAAAATATATATTAAAGCCTTTTGCAATGGGTTGATTTCCAAGATTTCTCCTATCCAAAAGTTTTGTGGGGCCTTAAAAGATCATGAAAAATATTTCTGACAAACTACCCTATGGATTAGACACAGGTCAAACCTTGTCTAATCCATAGTAGAGTTGAGGCTGAAAACAGAGACCCAAAATAGGAACCTTGGGAAAGGGCTGTTAAGAGCCACCACTCTGATTAGAAGGCACTTGCTCGGTGGTAGCAGGACACAGATCAGAGAGCTCAGTCATCAGTCAGTTTTGTGATAAAAATATTTTGTCTGGCTGCTACTTGCCTGATAGTATTTAACATGATAGCATAAAATATATGTTGTAGCAGTTTCTGGAGATCCTGAATTCTCTATGACAGGTCCTCTTCTTCTTTTAATTTACTTTATTGAAAAAATATTGACTTAATTAATGAGTTAATGTTGAACTGAAGAGTCTTTCATAAAACACAAAGCAGTGTCCCCAACAAAGAAACTACTGCCCAAACTACTGACATACTAACTCCCTATTATTGTTTTGGAAAATGTACTATTCATTTTAATTTCAACTGTGTCATCCCAACACACGTTATGTATTCTTTGGTGTTATGTATTTAATACATGTCACATGTCAACTCCTCTTGCAGCACAAGTTGATTTGCTGTTTTCTACCTTATGTGACCATAATCACTATTTATGTATCACTTTATTTTACTTTAATATATAATTAATTTTAATGAAACACTAGTAGAAAAAAGAAAAGAAACATTATCTGGTTCGAACTTCTAAACTGAGAGGATTTCACCTGACAAGATGACATTTGAAGATGTCTGGGAAGATTTGACAGGCAGTTTTCCTACCATTTTTTGGGGGGGCTTTTTAATCAACTAAACTATTAATGGAAAAACATATTCTGTAGATTAATTGATAGTGAAACCAATTTTCAGTTGCAGCCATAAGAAGGAGTAACATTTAAAAGCAGTTCAGTTGTGTAAAAATGTCAAGACAAGGAAAGTATTTTGTTTAGATAACTCACATTGTCATGGCTCAACATGACTCCTTTCGGTTTGCCAGTGGTTCCAGAGGTATAGATAAGAGTACAGCACTCGTTGGCCCGAAGACTGTCAATCACAGCATTCAGCTGCTCCTCTGGCACATCCTCTCCCAGCTTCATGAACTCTTCCCACTACAGATATACAAAGATTATGTGTCTAAATCCAGACCGGACTGTACTGAGCTGCAGCTGTGTAGGGCAGTTAAGTCACATTGATCTAACTGCATTTCTTATACCACAAGAAAGAAAGATAATCATTTTGCATTATGAAGCTCAATGGTGCCACTGTAGCTATCTGATACAGTATATACAGTACATATTTATCTGCCTAATCAGTATGTTATGCTGTGTGAACGTACTGTATACAGGAATGGTGTTTTCTGTTGCAGCTCGCCTTTATATTGAACAATGGCTTTCAGATGAGGAAGATGATCTTTAACCTGTTGGGAAAAACAAAGTCATGTGAGGACAGATTGTTTTTCTATCTCTGAGAAATAGTTCTCACAGGCGCACTAAGGCCCGGTGGTGTAACAAAGCTCCTGACCTGCAGAATTTTGTCGAGCTGTTTCTGGTTCTCCACAACCAGGATGTTGGCTTCACAGTTGGCAGCCACATATTGACAAGCTTCGGGCGAGTTGGTGGTGTAAATTCCGGTTGCCAGACCCCTACGGCACAAAACAAAAAACAGAGAATAAAAAGCTGATTCACTGTGATTTTTGTTTATTTGCCTACAGTTTGTAATGACAATAAGGCTAGTCATCCATCCATCCATCATCAACCGCTTATCCTGCGTACAGGGTCGCGGGGGGCTGGAGCCAATCCCAGCTTACATTGGGCGAAAGGCGTGGTACACTCTGGACAGGACAATAAGGCCAGTGTTTATTTTATTTATTAATTATTTGTTAATTATTTGTTTAGGCCATATCACTAACCAGAAATGAAAGCACACCGTTTCAGCTTTAATGATTTACACGATAGGTTTGTTTTTACTGATTTTATTGATATTTCATCTACTGCAGAATAGGTGAATAAACTTTACTTAATTACCGGAGACAACGGAAGGCTATACTGACAATGCTTTTTCCATAGATTTGTAGCAAGCAGTAAAGAAATGGCAAGGCTACCACCCATATTAGGTTTCGTTTGACTTTAAACTAGTACAACCTCAACAGGTGCGGGCAGAGGTGGACTTTGAGATAAGCACAGACAGAGATAAATGTACAGTGTCAGGTGAAACAATGCTGAGGCACCTCAAAGTACAAAAGTGGACTGTAAAGTCTACATGGCAGTGTATCTGTCTCAGTTGCTTAACTGTGATCTCACCCGGCAAAGATGCAGCCGACGTCCGAGATGAACCACTCGGGGGAGTTGAATCCCAGAATCCCCACGCCATGGTAACGCTCCAGCCCCAACTAAAACAAGACAATTAAAAATAATAAAGGTATACAAGAACATAAGCTGTGAATGCTGACTCGACATTCACAGCCAATAACATGTATCTTGAAGACCATTGGCCATCAAGGACTGGATGCTTAAAATGTTTTACAGCTTGACAGATAAGACTGAAGTCCTTGTTGTTGCCTCTGGTAACATAGCTATGACACCACGGTCACTCAGCGTATTGGGTCCCTTTCTTTAGCTGTACAGTGAAACCTCTCAAATTGTGGTGTTAAATTTGACCAATCTATGTACTTTGATCATCATATCAAATCATTGACCCATACACGTTTCTTCCATTTAAGAAACACTGCTAGACTGAAACCTTTTTGTGTCCAAACTAGAACTAGAGACGATCATAAGACTATACTGCAATTCCCTTTTCACCTGCCTCAGCAAGTCGTCCCTGGACCATCTACAAATGGTCCAGAACTCGCAGACCACGGCTCGCATCAAATCCATTCTGTCATCATTATAGTGGCTCCCCGTCGGGTTCAGGATTCATTTGAAAGTTCTTGTTTTCAGAAATAGGCCCTATTGTACATCTCTGACCTGCTTATCTATGGAGGACTGATCCTGACAGATTAAGAAATAAATACAGAATTAAATAACTGCTCAATAAATAAATAAGCATCCGATTAAATGTACAAAAAATAAAGTAAATAATTAAATGTACGCGGTAATTAAATTATACAATGAGACATAAATGTATATATATCTTTTAATTAGCTTCTTTATTCACCTTTATAATAATTACCTTATTTATTTATTGTCCATTATAATCTTCAACTTTTTTTATTAATTACTTCTTTTTTAAATGTATTTATTTATATGTGCGTTTTATTATTTTTGTCTTTGTCTTTCTTCCTTTGCATTTCTTATATATCACCACTACATCACCTAGGTCTTCAAACAAAGGCTTTCTATTTGTTCCTTGGGCTCAGTTAAAATCAAAAGGTGATTGTGCCTTTGAAGTCCTTTAAATGTTCTGCGGTCTTATTCAAGCTGACACACACTCAAGGGTGCAAACATGTTGGTTTCAAGGTCGATAATTATTTATGTTTTATTGAATGATTATTTTACTCTTTTTATGATGTTGTTGCTTATGAATTGGCGCCAGACTCACACGGCGTGCCTCAAGGATCGGTGCTTGGCCTGCTACTATTCAATATCTACATGCTACTTCTTGGGATGATCATCTGGAAACATGGACTCCTCTTCCACTGCTACGCTGATGACACCCAGCTCTACATCAGCACTAAGTCATCTACTCCCCTTCCACCAGTGCCGCTTATCAACTGCCTGAAGGACATAAAGAACTGGATGGACAGTAACCTCAAACTCAATAAAGACAAAACAGAACTCATGAACTCACTTGAACTCACAGGTTGGTGACATCACACTGGGTGTGGATGGCTGCTCAATCTCTGTATCCCCTCAAGTACGCAACCCGGGCGTCATCATGGACTCCACTCTCTCCTTCCAACAGCACATCAAAAACACTACTAAAACTGCCTTTTACCATCTTAAGAACTCCGACAGTGCCTCTCTTACTCTGTAGCTTAGACCCTCATGCACTCCTTCATCACCTCCTGACTTGACTATTGTAACGGTATCCTGTTCAGTCTGCCCAGCAAGGCCCTTACTGACAGACTCCAGTATGTCCAGAACTCTGCAGCTAGGATGCTCACCCACACAAAACTTGGACTTCACATCACTCCCATCCCGAAGAAGCTTTACTGGCTCCCAGTTAAGTCCTGGATCAAATATAAAATCCTCCTACTGACATACAAATCTCTCCATGGACTTGCATCTCAGTACCTCACAGATCTACTCCATCCCTACACTCAGTCACAGTCCCTGCGGTCCTCTGACAAGGACCTGCTTGCTGTCCCTAATTTCAGGCTCCAGACATTTGGTGACAGAGCTTTCTGTGTCGGTCCGCTCTGCCTCCTCTATAATAACCTTTTAAACCCAGCTGAAAACACACCTCATCACTGAGGCCTACGGGCTTTAATCTCCCCTGGCCTCACACCATTATTTTTTATTACTAGTTTACAAAGTTGCTTTTGATTTATTGTTGTTTCTTTACTATTTTAAGCACTTTGTTTATATATTATTAATTGCATAACTTTTGACCTACATCGTTTCAAATGCCACCTCATGGGACACAAAAATGTCAAGGAAATTGGAGACGTCATATAAGACAAGCTGTGAATTTGACACGCCCAAGTGTTAGTTTTCAACAGCCCTTCTCACACTGTGATACAGTGAGAGAGGGAAGATATTCTGAGGTGCTGTTTGCCAAGAATTGAAGGTTTTGTGTAGCCTGTAATTCATGATATATAGTTCATGTTCATGTCACAGGAATCCCTCTATTGATTCAAAACCCTCTGCTCTTCTAGTTTAGCTTATAAGTATAGAATACAGTGCAGGCAGAAAGATACTTCAGCACACTGGATTTAAATGAAACAGTGACTATAACTTTAAGGACTACCAAATACAACTACTAAAGTACTGACTTTCAGCTTTAAGGGTGTTTGAGGTTCTTCATATCGATATTGGATGTAAAACTTGAACGTGTTTTTGTTCTTGTGTTGTGTGACAACACAGGAGAATAATGACCCTAAACATTCAAATACGGCAGCTGACACATTCCTAAGGACCAAGAGATAAATGTTCTTGACTGGCAGTTACAGTATGTGTTTGCTAAACACCAGACTAAAAGCAAAATGCCCCTGGGAGCAAGACAGAAGTGAGGATGGCTGCAGTAAAAGTCTGGGACATACCAAATGTATGCTGATAGTATTTAACATGATGACCTTATGGCAGTTTGTCCACATAGTTCCTTTAAGTGTGTGTAAATTGACTGAAGCTGCCTGTGTATGAAGCTTCTTATATATTATAAATTAATTTGCTTTGTCTAGTTTGTGTTGCTGAAAGTTGGAGGGCTACAGTATGTATTACAAAAGGCTATAATTCCTACATTGTTGACTCAAAAAGGATGTTAACATACTTTGAAATTAAATTTAAAAGCCAGCGCTAATCTCCCAGTTAAGGTTTCAGTCAAAATCCAATGTGCTGGAATAGAGAGCCAATATACTGGCTCACTACCCAAATATTTACAAATAAACAAACCTTGAGGAAACTCTTAGCAGCTGCCCGGCACTGCTCGTAGTATTGCCTCCATGTCAGGGTCACCCACATGCCGTCTTTTTTGGAAGCCAAGGCTGGATGATCTCCATATTTTTCCAGCGTCCCCAGGAACGCCTGATGGATGGTGATGGGAGTGTCTGATGCCGGGCCTGAGCCCTCCATCCTCAGCATGACTCCCTTGTCTCTGATGGTGCTCCATAGCTGGTCAGCTGGGGTGAGAGTTGTCACCACATTCGCCGTGGACAGGGCAACTGCCTTGGGCTCTTCTGTATTGGGACAACAGCCGCATTTACCCGCCATTAATGATATGTCAAACTCAGAAGACACACACACCACACTAAAACACAACAAGCTTGCCCTTTAGAAAAAGAGTATAAGAGGGTTTGCACCTGCTGTCTCAGTTACGCAGTGAAAAGGGGAAGGCTTCGGTGTTAACCTGAGACAAAACAGGAAGCTATGGAATGCCTACCTACCAATCAGGTTTGGTTAGGCTCTAACCTGATTTTTAAAAGACAAGGAGACTTGGGTCCCTTGATCAAGAGCATTCAAAGAACACAGACACAATAATGCTGTATTTGTTCTTTCTTTTTATTGTACAAAAACTCTAGGATGATACAGATTATTTTGTTCCTTCCTTTTGCTTTTTCTCTTATCTTTGTCAGCTTCCTTCAACACTTGAACACCTCACACTTCAGCCCTTAAGTATTTTATCTATTGTTACAGCTCTTTTACCTCAGGTGCTCTTTCCTCTTCACGGTGAGGCTTGTGGCTGAAAGTACTTAACTTAAAGGTAAAGTCGTATTTCCAAACTTCAGTCTGGATTTAAACAAATTCACAGAGCTGCCACTGTTTTCATAAAGGTCACACATTTCTGTCAATTGATGCACAACATTTTGTTTTGTTTAGATCTTGCTGTATCACTTGACACAGTTAAAGCATGTGATTTTTAGTCAACAGCTTCTTTACTGCATCTAAAAATGCCCACAAGTCTTTTCAGAAACACCATTAGACTGGTTCAGATCTTGCTTCCTAAACAGCACAATCTCCTTTCTAACATGTTATCCTTATTCCTCCCCTGTATAAACTAATATAACTCTATTTGCCCTGTTTCATTTTTTGCAGTTTCATTCATAAGTGCATGTTGCCTGCATGACACATGGTAATATTCCCCTTTAAACTTCAGCAGTGAATCTTAGACAATGGCATTTGTGGCTATACCACATGCTGCAGCTGCAGGGGTTGTGTACATACCAAACAGATAAAATCACACCACTTTTAGCTTTCTCACACTGGTTTCCTACTAGTTGTAGGACACATCTTTTTAAATTTTACTGACTGTTTTAAAAGGCACGGCATGGTGACAAGCCTTTTGAACTGTTAAACTTGTTGTCAATGAGAAAGACCCCCGCTATTTTCTCTTCTGCGCTTCAAAGGAAACTTCAACGTGTGGAAAAACATGGCAAACACCTCGTTGTATGTAGCAACCTGCTGATTTAATACACTAAACTTGAACGACTTGTTTGGCCTTTTTGACCCTTAAAGCAACATAATGTCTATTTGCAATAGGCATATGTTTCTGCATGTGAAGTTGCTGTTTTAGATCATATCATTTGAATAGTTTTTACAATTTCACAATAAAAAACAAATGAACAGAATTTGGGAAGTAGCAGTGTTATTTATCTTCTTATTTCTTGTCTCTCAAATGTCAGAAACCCTCAGATTAGTCTGACCTAGCTAGCAGTTAGGAACCACTGTGCTCTACAATCCACAAACCAACAAGTAAAAAAACTTTTGAGGCATTAGATTAGTTCCTCTCTCTCAAACCACACTCAGACTATCACCTGAAGGAAGTGCTTCAGTAGCTCCCTCCAGCTCAGGAGATCTGGCAGATTTAGTCGGTGCCTCAGTTTCGCTGGTAGGAGGAGTCTCCTGGGTCTCTGAAGCAGAGGCTGCACTGAGCTCCGCTCTGGTGGCGTCTCCGTTGGGGATGAGAGTGGAGTGGGTCCTTAAGTTTGTGGAGTCAGACAGAGTTTCTTGAGTAGGTTTGCTGTGAAAGCCATCGAGAGGGCACGAATGAGTTAATACCCGGAAATTAATAAATGTTATTTTTAGATCCATAGTTTAAAAGAAAGCGGATCAAAACTCATAATGGTTCAAAAATCATAATCACCTTGAAAATGGTTATATGTTTTCCACTTAGGGTCATGGACCATTTTACATACCTCTCAGTATTACCATCCATCACTGCAACACCATTGCTCTTAATCGAATATTCTTGTACACTCATGTTGTATTTGCTGGAATAACAGAGAAAACTATCTTAAAATAGACTTAAGATGTCCTTCACTGAAGACCCTCCACACAAATAAGAGAATCTATTATGAAACAGCTTTTTATACCCGACTGATATTCACCAAAGTCATTGCAACAGGTCAGAGCCAATGACCGCCATCACTAGTAATCACAGTACACCGGCAGACTAAATGATGAAACTTTTCAAATTGTGCCAGAAAGCCTTTGGACATCGGCATGTATTTGTACTATTTGCCCCAAATAATCACACCTAGAAGAAGAATACACTGCACCCCAGGCATCGCTATTTGATTAAAGTTGAATTTAAAGTGTTTAATCAATGTTTCAGGTATTAAATAAAATGTAAATATTGTCAAACAAACAGGAGCAGCAGGTCTTCCTCTACCCAGAGCGCTTGTGTATGCGCCACAGACAGAGAAACAATGCCACCTAGTGTGTATAGTTTGTGTATAGTGAAAATATTCAAATACTTTTTGTCTTATGGTCACACGTACCTCCAAATAACTGCACTGCCAAATATAATCAATCAGTTCAACATAACTGTAGGGATAAAATGAAAGTTAACACACTGATTGACATAATGTCATGAGACATTTGTAAGTAAAAACTGTATTAGATTAAGATGTGCCAACCCAGCAGAGTCTGAGTTTTTAAGATAACTTTGGGCAAGATTTCTCTGGGCCAAAGTTCATTCGACTTACAAAACTACAGTGTGGCAATATGAAGTGGCAAAACCTTTGCTCTGGATTACGCAAGTAACACTCAAAGTGCCCTGCAATCCACAAAAAGTAGATTTCAGTTCATTATTTAGAATTAAAGATTACCCAGAAAGGACACGTTAACTTGGGGGGAAAACTGTGTTGAGTTGAATCTTCTAGTGCAAACTGAGTTGAAGAGGTCCTACAGTCTCAAGACCTGAAAGTAAAGATGAGACCCAGGAGAAGTCAATTAGGGGCTATATCCATCTCTTAGTCGTGCGTCTCCAGCAGCATGCATGGTGTCAGTTTCTCATTCCTAAATTAAACTGTGAAATTAATTTATTGTGTTCTGCAGTTAAAAAAACCCCAATCAGCTTAAGCAAGAAAGAGCTGTAACATGTCAATAAACTTTCTAAGACTTTCTACGTGCAACTTTGCGTGGAAATTCTCATTAAACACATGCAGTCCCAACAGCAATTTATGACAACAAAAGCCTCCCTGCACAAGTTCTATCACACACTCACATCAAAAAGCATAAAATGGAAACATGTGTAAATGATAGCTACCTTCTCCGGGGGACATAGTTGATTGGCATCAACTTGACAGTTGCTGTTAGGTGCAGGGCAGACCTGGATCAACCTTTTCCCCGCAAAGGTGTTTGACTGTTCCCACCTGAAGAAAATCTCAGCCTGTCAGGGACTTGTATGAGAGCATACCAAGTTCTCCTGCACTCACGCCTTGTCCAGAGCAATAAAGACTTGCGCAATCCTCTGAACACCTGCTGCTGAGATCACGTTGACCAGTTAAAGGTCCCATGACAAACTTGACCAAAGGTTATATTGCTCGTCAAGGTGAAGACGACCTGTAACCTGACTCTGGTAGAGAGCTGATTTGTTTACAGTAAGTAGCTGACAACTGTTGTCAGTGGTGACAGTCCAAAACATTTAACAGCAGAAAGGACAGAGGGTTCCTATAAAGCAATGCGACAAAGCTTGTGTGGTTTTATAGACTTTTATTATCCTTACGAGGCCTCTCAGAGAAACAATGATAAAACTAGATAAATTCTCTCAGGTTCTGAGGACAGATAACACTTTGAACCATAAAAATAGTATTCAACAGTTGAGCAAAACTTGTGCAACTCTTGACTTTTTCTACCAGAATGACACGTCAAGAAAGAGATGTCAACATTTTAAATGATGAAATGCACAAAATATTATTGGTATTGTTGGAGACACATTTTGCAGAGACTCAATTTCTTATAAATCTCCTTTAATTCTTACACTTCTCTACTTACGTCTTACTATTTGTGATTTGTATCGAGTGCATAAGGGAAATCAGTATGGGTCATTTAGCAATTTAAAATGTCCATTTCTCTTTTATGTCATTAAAACAGACCTTGCTGCTTCCTTTTCTCAGCTCAACTATGTATATCTCACAGCCATGTTCAAGGAGGCAAACATTGCTTTTGAAGTGAATATAGGGGAAGGTTCAACCAAATGACCCAAAGTTGCCTAGCTCACTGGCACGGCAGTCACTGAATCATACCACTCGGTCAGACCAGATCTGTCCCCGACACCTGACCCCTCAATGTTATTATCTGGGCGCATGCAATCTGTGGCGGTTGTGAAGGATTAGTGAGGGGATATATCAATGCCAGCAATGCTGAAAAGAAGTAACAGGAAACTAGACTACACGCAAGGACATTTCAAATGTGCCGGTGATACTAAATATTATATTGTGCGCCTTAAAACAGGGATTCAGTGTATGAATGCCTGACTTGACCTTCAGTGGGAACCACGGCTATTTTGTTCCTTTTATCCACCAAAACATTTTTAGACGGCAGGTTTTATAAAGTAATTATTTCATATAATGGTGAGACAAAGAAATGTTTTTTTTACTTGATAACTTAATAATTACTCAGATATTCATCAGAGCAGGACAAAATTATTTATCTTAAAACAGCACAAATATTTAATAACACAAGAGAGGCGTCTGTGTCTTAACAGTAGAGCGTGTCAACCTCTTATCAGAAGGTCGGCCGTTCGATCCCCTGCTTCCCCCAGCCCACTTATGGAAGTGTCCCTGGGCGAGAGACTGAACCCCAAAGTGCTCCTGAAGCGTCTGCCATCAGTGTGTAAATGAGGCAAATGTGACATGTAGTGTAAAGCACTTTGACAGAGCGATTGTTCACTCAAGTGCAGTCTATTTACCAACAGCGAGTTATTTGATAAACATCTACAGGTGCTGGTCATATAATTAGAATATCATCAAAAAGTTGATTTATTTCAGTAATTACATTCAAAAAGTGAAACTTGTGTAATATATACATTCATTCCACACAGACTGATATATTTCAAGTGTTCATTCCTTTTAATTTTGATGATAATAACTGACAACTAAATTTGAATATTGTGAAAAGGTTCAATATTGAAGACACCTGGTGCCACACTCTAATCAGCTAACTAACTCAAAACACCTCATCATGGGGAAGACTGCTGACTTGACAACTGTCCAAAAGACGACCATTGACACCTTGCACAAGGAGGGCAAGAAACAAAAGTTCATTGCTAAAGAGGCTGGCTGTTCACAGAGCTCTGTGTCCAAGCACATTAATAGAGAGGCGAAGGGAAGGAAAAGATGTGGTAGAAAAAAAAGTGTACAAGCAATAGGGATAACCGCACCCTGGAGAGGATTGTGAAACAAAACCAATTCAAAAAATGTGGGGGAGATTCACAAAGAGTGGACTGCAGCTGGAGTCAGTGCTTCAAGAACCACCACGCACAGACGTATGCAAGACATGGGTTTCAGCTGTCGCATTCCTTGTGTCAAGCCACTCTTGAACAAGACACAGCATCAGAAGCGTCTCGCCTGGGCTAAAGACAAAAAGGATTGGACTGCTGCTGAGTAGCCCAAAGTTATGTTCTCTGATGAAAGTCAATTTTGCATTTCCTTTGGAAATCAAGGTCCCAGAGTCTGGAGGAAGAGAGGAGAGGCACAGAATCCACATTGCTTGAAGTCCAGTGTAAAGTTTCCACAGTCAGTGATGGTTTGGGGTGCCATGTCATCTGCTGGTGTTGGTCCACTGTGTTTTCTGAGGTCCAAGGTCAACGCAGCCGTCTACCAGGAAGTTTTAGAGCACTTCATGCTTCCTGCTGCTGACCAACTTTATGGAGATGCAGATTTAATTTTCCAACAGGACTTGGCACCTGCACACAGTGCCAAAGCTACCAGTACCTGGTTTAAGGACCATGGTATCCCTGTTCTTAATTGGCCAGCAAACTCGCCTGACCTTAACCCTATAGAAAATCTATGGGGTATTGTGAAGAGGAAGATGCGATACGCCAGACCCAACAATGCAGAAGAGCTGAAGGCCACTATCAGAGCAACCTGGGCTCTCATAACACCTGAGCAGTGCCACAGACTGATCGACTCCATGCCACGCCGCATTGCTGCAGTAATTCAGGCAAAAGGAGCTCCAACTAAGTATTGAGTGCTGTACATGCTCATACTTTTCATGTTCATACTTTTCAGTTGGCCAACATTTCTAAAAATCTTTTCTTTCTTTTTTTTTTGTATTGGTAATATTCTAATTTTCTAACTGAATTTGGGATTTTCATTAGTTGTCAGTTTTAATCGTCACAATTACATTAAATAAACATTTGAAATATCTGTGTATAGTCTGTGTGTAATGAATATAATATCCAAGTTTCACTTTTTGAATGGAATCAACTTTTTGATGATATTCTAATTATATGACCAGCACCTGTATATTTTACTGTGTATAGTACTTATACGTTATTGTTTTTATCAGTTATTGATGTGGCAATTGTCCAGGGTGTTTTGGGATTTGGTTAGCATTTTTGATTGGTTGTTACAGCCTGTGGCTTTGGGATACAGATGAGTTGTTTAGCGCACAGTGAACGCAGCAGGAAGGATCACTGGTGCCTCACTCCCATCCCTCCAAGACCTCTACGACACCCGCCAAGTGGGAGACGCCACCAAGCCCTCACACAGCCTTTTCAGTCTCTTGCCATCTGGGAGAAGGTACCAGAGCCTCCGAGCCTGCTACACCAGTGAGGAACAGGATTTTCCTCCCTCTGCCCGAATAGTGTAACTGCAAACTCCCCACCCATATCCAGCACCAGCCACCAACAAAAACCGCAAGAAAAACACAAAACTGCTGCTATCCACCTTTGCACGGTGGAAACATTAGGGACAATATTTGCAGCATTGCACTGTAGACAATTACTTATATTAGACCATTTTTGCACTGAAGTTTGTAAATTGTTTTTTTTCTGTCCTGCATTCACCGTGGGTCACGAGACACACAATTTTAGTCCTCTGTGTGCCTTGTACATGGTAGAACTGACAATAAAGTTGATGTTGTTTAAAATGGTGAATTTGGTGCACGATGAAGGTCCATGACAAACAAAATGTGTTTTTAATAAACTCGGTGCTTGCCGTATGTGTGAATTCACCCTTTCATTTCTCTGCATGTGATCATTTCATGTAAAAATTTAATGTAACATGTGCTTAAAAGAACTGAATAAAAAAACTGATAAAAATTCCGTTGTCTGGATTAAACTTCTCATTGCATATTGTAACTTACTGCAGATGCTAGAAAACGTCAGATTAAAGAACCGAGTTGAGTTTCTGGCTTTCCATATTAGAAATCATGCCTTTATTTGCATCTGTATCAAACAAAATGTATTTACTCTTCATTTTTACATTTAATTTTTACATTTCTCAAGATCATACTTCATATTTACATGTTGTGAGATTTTATACAGAAAATCAGATGAGATTATTAAGTTTTCAATAAACTACACCCATAATACATCAGGTCGTGCTCACGTGATTACACACATTAAAGTATCCTGAAAAGACGAAGAAACGACCAACACACACTTAAACATTCACATGAAAGCATTATCCTGGTGGCCACATCATCTGCCTTCCTCCCAGGACGTGGATGTGAAGGTGGTAAACTGACTGAGAGCCGTGCTTTCCATCGTTGATCACTGCGGAGGGCAGAAAATAACCCAGAATGCAATGTGCACGTATTTAAACAGCCTGTATTATCACAAAAACTTACTGTTATCAACTAAATCATGCAACTTACCCACTCTGTATCCTTCATTTAGAGACTCCTGCTTTGCCACATTTTTGGCAACAACCAATAAATGTCCTAAGAGCTGAAAGTCGTAAAACAAAGATGATAAGTGACCGGTTGATGTAACAGCTTTTCAAAGATTACAATTTTGAGTGTGACTGGACAGGAAGAACCTACGTTGGTCCCTGGTGGTTGCAGCAAAAGTGGTCAGGCTATATCCTGGAAATTCTGGTTTTAATCTTTATCGCTTCTTTCTGCATTTTAAAGTGTAAGAAATGTTGAATTTATTTTAAATGAAATGTGCCAACTAAATAAAATTGCCTTGCCTTGCCTGGTCATGCATCTCGATGACTATACACCCCACAACACACATAGAGTATGTGGCGTTTGTGGTATGTAATATTATCATGTATGTGCCCTCTGATCAACTCCTCTCCGAAAAATGAGCTGGAGCTGGTTTAATTTAACAGACCCTCTTCTGGACCCCCTGCAGTTCGCCTACAGAGCCAACAGGTCTGTAGACGATGCAGTGAACGTGGCCCTTCACTACATTCTCCAGCACCTGGACTCCCCAGGATCCTACGCCAGGATCCTGTTTGTGGATTTCAGCTCTGCTTTTAACACCATCATACCGGCCTGCTGCAGGACAAGCTCTCCCAGCTGAACGTGCCTGACAGACTTCCTGACAGACAGGAAGCAGCACATGAAGATGGGAAAACATGTCTCTGACTCCAGGACCATCAGCACCAGTTCCCCTCAAGGCTGCGTTCTTTCCCCTCTCCTCTCTGTACACCAACAGCTGCACCTCCAGTCACCAGTCTGTCAAGCTCCTGAAGTTTGTGGACGACACCACCGTCATTGGGCTCATCTCAGGTGGGGATGAGTCTGCCTACAGGTGGGAGATCAACCATCTGGTGACCTGGTGCAGCCAAAACAGTCTGGAGCTCAACGCTCAGAAGACAGTGGAGATGGTCGTGGACTTCAGAAAGAGCCCAGCCGCAACCTCCCCCATCATCCTGTGTGACTCCCCCGTCGCCACTGTGGACTCCTTCCGCTTCCTGGGCACCATCATCTCCCATGACCTCAAGTTGGAGCTGAACATCACCTCCCTCACCAAGAAGGCCCAGCAGAGGATTTACTTCCTGCGGCAGCTGAAGAAGTTCAGCCTGCCAAAGACAATGATGGTGCACTTCTACACCGCCATCATTGAGTCCATCCGGACCTCCTCCATCACCATCTGGTACGCTGCTTCCACCGCCAGGGACAAGGGCAGCCTGCAGCGTATCATTCGCTCTGCAGAGAAGGTGATTGGCTACAATCTTCCATCTCTTTAGGACCTGTACGCCTCCAGGACTCTGAGCAGCTGACGCCTCCCATCCCGGACACAAATTGTTTCAGACTCTCCCCTCTGGCAGGAGGCTGCAGTCCATCAGGACCAAAACCTCTTGCCATAAAAACAACTTCTACCTGTCCGCTGTTAGCCTCATTAACAAGGACTCCCCCTTTCTTAAAATGCAAATGTCTCTGCACATGTAAATATTATTTCATATCGTGCACAAACCTGGCACATTGCACATAATATGTGTTGTTAATTGTTAATAGTTGTTGTCCTATATTTTTATAGTGTCAATTTATATATTTATGTACACAATATTCTCTTCAGTTGCAATACGTCTGCACAACACAAACCCGGAATAATGCACATGTAAAGATCAGCGACGTTGTTCTTTCTCTGCAAACACTACTTGGCTCCTTCTGATTCTGTAAATTCCCAACTACTGATGATTTTGGATAGTTTCAAGTTGTGGCAATAAGATGCTGCCCGATTCCTCTGCTTGGTGTGAATATGTCCTGAACAGTGACAACAAATAGACTTCATGCACACAAGTGGTCCTGGGTTTCAACCAGTTTCAACCTGGGAGCTTGCTGTGTGGAGTCCTCCCAGTGTTTGTTTGTTGGATTTTTAGTTGTTCCAGTTTCCTCCCACAGTCCACCGGTGTACTGATGCCCACATACTTTTGGCCATTTAGTGTACATGTTTGTGAATGTGTGTTGACCTGTCCAGGATGTACCATGCTGTGGATCAGCGGGTATAAAAAAAAATGGATGGACAGACTCACCTCAGCATCATCATCTTTGGCCTCACTTATTCTGGGAATAGGGACCCTTGGAATAACCAGGAAGTGGACAGGGGCCTGTGGGCTGATATCCCTGAATGCCAAACACTGATAAACACACAAAAACAACTTTATTTAAAATGTCTTTATCTGCATCACAAGAGACATATGTTAATGCATGTCCACGTGGAATCGGCCAAATGAGAAAACCCCAGCAGTTCCCGTTGGTTGTTTACCTTCTCATCTTCATATATAATATCTGCGGGGATGCTTTTGTCTATCACTTTGGAGAATATGGTTGGAGCTGGGGAGCCGTACTTCTTGCTGGCCTCCTCTGCCAGCCTCACCTCGTCACTTTTGCTGCACAGTGGTCTCTGTGGGTCAGAGACACACATGACACCCAGGAAAACACAAGCTGTGCGCTGCCAACTGCTGCTAGCATACAAACAAAACATTTCAGAACAACGTACACGAGTGGCACAGTAAACCAAACCTCTTGGTGGTCGGGCACTGCAGGTGTCCCACAGCCACCACCAGGGCTGGTAGGACAGCTGTTGCCAAAATGCTCAGCTGCAGTCAGCGAAAAGAAAATGTTTATGAGAACGACAACAAGACGGTTTATTTTCAGAGCAGCTACCTCGGCTCGACAAACACGGTGCCAACGGCCGAGCTGAGCCGATCTGGTCCCGACGAACTGTGTCCGTAAAATCTGACGAAAATACATAGCTAGCTAACTAACTGCTATAGTTTTTAAGTAGTACATGTATCAGGGTTTATCTCAGTTTGTGACCTTTTCACGCACCACTGCACAGACAAACAATCTCCCATCTGACGGAAACTCTGTGTCACACGTTAATGTTGCCTTCACGGAGCCTCGGGCTGTCCTGGATCATCATTCTTGAATACGACGTGTCTCCGTTTATAGGAAGGCTACCGGGAAACGACACGCCGTTAGAGAATTGTAACGTTGTTGTTTGATCATAAGTCAGTGTATAAAGGAGTGAATTGATTGTACATGTTGGGGGGGGAAACGTAAAGAACAGACGCAAGAATAATCTAATTTACTGGCTAATAAAGTTGACACTTTCCCCGCCAATTGTTAGACACGACTTAATTGCTCAAAGTATCATATTTTTACTCCTGGTGGTGTACATTTATGTTCTTTAAGTCTTATTATTTTCATGATAACAATGTTTTCATCTCAAACTTACGACATTTTTGAGTGCTTCTAAATGGGGCATTTTTTTAAAGGGCACAAGGGTCGCTTCAAGAGCCTCAACGTTCTCCGACGCTAACATCATATCGTCTAAACTGAAATAAACTTTAACAATTAGTTTTACATTTCTCAGTCCCGATGAAAATATAACGTTAACGTTAGATCTTTATACAACATTGTCGAATATGGTATGTTTATGGCTTTTCGTGCAGCAGGGGGCGCTGTTGTGGGAGACGCTAGTTCACATGTCAACAGGACGGAAGAAGAAGTTGAAGTCATGAGAAACATGGCGGTCCACAGACGGCTGTCCTTGCTGTTCCCTAAAAATCTGCCTCCGTTTAGAAATCAAAAGCTTGTCCACACCGAGGCCGCCGCCAAGGAGCCCGCGTATCCCCCCATCGCCCCCTCTCTCACGGCTAAAAGCACATCTGCCCGGCGGCGTCAGGTTGAGGAACAGGTACAAAAGATATGTGCCTCTCCCGTGGAGGAGAAGCTCTCCCTCATCACTCGCATCCAGCGGAAGAAATTTGTGATTTACCCTCAGACTTTCGCACGGAACGCAGACAGATGGTACCAGCACTTCACCAAGACAGCATATATTCCGGGCCTGCCCGAGAAATTCACCCCGGGGGAGGAGAGGTCGCCGCCAGGGGCTGCAGAAATCACGCTACCAGGGATTGAAAATGATGCATTCGCGGACATCCGCTCCTTGGTCAGTCGTGTGATTTTACAGGAGCACTTTCACATTAAGAAACGCAAACCTTTCCTGTCCAGAGAACAGGAGCAGATGGTTGGACCTTTTCTGAGAAACCTGGTGACTGGACTCACTTACAGTGTGGCCAAGTACAATCCACTGCTCCGCCTCTCCAGCCTGGGTAGGGATGATTGGTGTGGTAATACACCTAAGTATTTCCTGGCTTTGTGCCTCCTTTAAACTACATCTGAATTAATATTGTGAATGTGTCTGGTTAGTTAGCTGAATGGACCAGTCGACAAGGTTTTAATACCACTTTTTACTGATTAGTCAAGTAGAGCAGGTTCATAATAATGTGACAAGATCGCTGGTGCTTAGGAGAACATATTAACTCACAACATTTTGAGAATCCGCTATGTGCAATGTGGATACCATTGGGGAAAGTAGAGGCATTCATAGTATATTTTACTTTGGTGCAGAAGTGATTAAGTGTTGTTTATGAACAGAAAGTGATATTGCAGCAACTTGCTAATCAAAAACACAGACCAGGTGCTGCTATCTTCTCATGTGAGGAATTCCTGCTTTTCTCTCAGTGTTGTAAATTGAAGATATTTTGGGGTTTGGACTGTTGGTCAAACTAATAAAGCAACTATTTTTTACTATTTTAAAAAATAAATAATAAAAACATGCTTTTCTACAGATGTTTTTTCCCCATTCAAACTAAAAAAAGCCAAACTTTAAATACAACAAGCTGATAAGTAAAAGTGGTAAATTTATGACTTGAATAAAGAACTCTCTGACCAGTTAACAAGTTACCAATAATATAAATCTGACCACTCAGTGCCAGCTTTCTGTATTATTGGTTCTGCAAAAACTACCCCCAAAAATGAATGCGGTTTGATAGTTGGACACACATGAAGATGATGCATAAACAAAAATCCTAAACATGTTCTAGCTTAAGATCACAAAAGCAGTATCACCATACGTAGAAATTTGGCTCAGCTCTATGACCAGATTCTGATTATTCCGCAAGTCATGTTGTTTGTGTTTCTCTGTCAGATATTAATCCACAGGTAAACTTTTATTGGAGGAGAGGCCAGAGAATCATCCCCAAGGGGCACCGGAGAGGCCGGCTCGAGCCAACCAGGTTCCAGATTGATGACGTCCCGCACAGTCAAATTAGGATTACTCAACAACTGCCACAGGTACAAATAATTTTCAGCCCATGGAGTTTATGAATTAAAAACCTCTCATGGCATTTTCATCTTAAAGCTTGTGATTAAATGTGATTATGGGTCTTGCATAGTTTTTTGATACATTTAATTCCTCTTGAACCTGACACACTTACTTCTGTGATGCTTTTCACACCAGAGGCTGTAAAATATCAGTAGTCGTTCCTGTTTAATGTCAAGCATGCGTGTGACTTTGCTCTAATCGCTTTCTCTGATTTTAATCTCTCTTAGTTTACCCCGCTGGAGGCTTCCTACACAGCTGAAGTTCCAGAGGTCAAATATGCTCCCAACCTGATGCCTCTGTTCAGAAGACAGTATGATAACAACATCTTTACAGGTAACACACCGTTCAAAGAACAATTTACATGAAGATATGAATAAAAATACACATGCAGCTAAAAACAAGGACAACAAAGTTGAACAAAGAGACGTAACAGTAAACATAGAACTACTATGCACGTACAAATGGGTGAAAAAAAAATAGATGCATATATAAATATATATAAATACAACATTGAACAACAACATACAATGTCGACGTACAAGTGAAACTGTTTCTGTAAATGATTAGCTTTAACGTTAGTCTATAATATGGTTGTTCTTCCTGGCTGTAGAGATACTAGAAACACTGGTAGCATTTCCACATAACATATTATAATGCTACAAACAACTGTCGCCTCAGGCTTCCCTCAGTTTTATTGTTCTCTTGTATACTGCACGTTCTAACATTTGAGAAGCTGAAACCATCAAATTTTTGTTTGAACATTTACACATTGTCAAAATACTGAATCATTTTCTTTTGTTCGACTAAACGTTGCAGCTCTGAACTTTTCTGGCAAAGACAGTCCATCCCAGTTTGTTACATAGAAGTTAGTTTTCACGATTTAGTATCAATCAGAGATGAGAATATTTAAAAAGATTTCAATTAAATGAAAATCTTAGCATCTTCAAAATAATTTTGAGAAGCATGTTCACTCTCAGCTGTGCTCTGTTTACATCAAGTCGGTTATCTCTGTCCTCTCGACCTCATTAACAGGTGCCAAGCTACCAGACCCAGCGTGCTACGGTCACACTCAGTTCCACCTGGTGCCCGATCGGTACCACAGAGACCGGATGGCTCGACGGCAGCAGTCCGATCAGGTGGAGGTCTTCCTCAGAGCCAATGGACTCGCCAGCCTCTTCGCCTGGACAGGAGCTCAGGCCATGTACCAGGGTGAGTTGTCGACATCAGCTGCATCTCTTACCACAGCAGAGCTTATGATTATATATGTTCTGTGGTAGGTGAGTCTAGAAACTCAGCTGTAAACTCTACTCCACATGGGGAAATCAAATACCATCAAATAAGCTCCTGATTTCACAGTCTGACACTTAAATGTGGCATTTACTGTTTTTGTATCAGTAAGTATTTACAAGTATTTTTAAAGTGGATTTTGACTTGAGGGAAAGAAGAAATAGCTGGTGGTCATACTTCCCTCTCACCTCTGTAGGTTTCTGGAACCACGAGGATGTCACCAGGCCTTTTGCGTCACAGGCTGTGATCACAGACGGACAGTTCTTCTCCTTCTTCTGCTACCAGCTCAACACTGTGGCCCTCTCTGTGGAGACGGACGCCAACAACCCCAGGAAAAACCTTCTGTGGGGCACTGAGAGCCTGCAACTGTACGAGAGTGTGCAGGATGGAGCGGTGGTGGGTCTGAACAACAGTGTCATCAGGCTCCTGGTTCAATTCCTCATGAACCAGCCGTAGAGTTCTTGTGGTTCCTGTCTTGTTTTAAGGGGAGATTACCTCGAGTCTGTGTTCTCCGAGGCTTTGAAAGATGCAAGAGAAGGAGCTTTGTAAGAGCCCAGCATGGCAGACCAGAGGAAGTTTTGTCAGATTGTATAAAATGTAATGTTTAAAAAAGCAGAAAAATCTGGAACAAAGTACTCAATAAATACTACACGCACATCCCTGACTATCACTGTGCAGATTGTATTTATGCAAAAATAAAACACTTTTCAAATTGACATTCGTGTTTGTTGGTACAGTCTACAACAGTTTGAAGAAGACATTTTTCCTCATACACCCACTTTCCTATCAAACAGTGCTAAAAAGATTTAGCGTTGGACTGCTGCCTACATTACCCATAATGCAACTAATGGATAATAATAATCTTTATTTGTTGAGCACTTTTCAAAAACAAGTTACAAAGTGCTTTAACAAGTGTAAAGACAATAATACCCCAAAAACAATAATACAGAAACAATACAAGATAAAAGCAAGAAAACATTGAAAAGACTAAAATACACGTTTAAGATAAATAAATAAAATAGAATAAAATAAAAGGGATAAAATAAATCAAATAAGATCGGGACAGGCTCTCCTATAAAAGTATGTTTTAAGAAGGGACTTAAGAGTTCACTGACTCAGCCAACCTGATTTCCTCGGGCAGGCTGTTCCAGAGCCTCGGGGCCCTGACAGCAAACACTCTGTCCCCTTTAGTTTTCAGTCGAGACTCTGGAACAGACAACAGACCTCTGCCCGAGGATCTCAAGGTACGTGCTGGTGCATATGGGACTAAAAGGTCATAAATATAACAAGGCGAGAGGCCATGAAGAGCTTTAAAAGTAATCAATAGAATTTTAAAGTCAATTCTAAAACATACTGGGAGCCAGTGTAATGAAGCTAAAATAGGAGTAATGTGGTCATATTTCTTTGTTCTGGTTAAAAGCCTGGCAGCTGAGTTCTGGACAGTCTGGAGTCGATCAATAGATTTTTGGGTTAAACAGGTGAAAAGGCTGTTGCAATAATCCAGGTGTGATGAGATGAAGGCGTGTAAAATGGTCTCTGTGTCCTTAAAAGTTAACATAGATCGAATTTTAGCTATATTTCTAAGTTGATAAAAACATGATTGAACAAGCTTTGTGGTGTGCTGCTCGAAATTTAAATTACTATCAAACCAAACACCAAAGTTCTTTGCCACAGGCTTAATGTGATTTACTAGGGAACCAGCGGATGGCAATATTTGATTTGCCATCTGCTGAGACCCGATGACCAGGATTTCTGTTTTGTCTGAGTTCAGCTGGAGGAAATTATTTGACATCCATTTTTTAACTTCACAAAGGCAGTTGTTAAGTGAACTCAGCATTCCAGGGTCTGTGGATCTGACGGGCAAGTATATTTGTGTGTCACCAGCATAAATATGAAAAGAAATGCCATGTTTATGGATAATATGTCCAAGGGGAAGCAGATACAAGGAAAACAAAATGTGTCCTAAGACCGACCCCTGAGGCACACCATATTTAACTGGACAGAATGAGGAGACATAGTTGTTTACAGACACGCAAATATTTTGTTATTTTCCAGTACAGTGAGCAGCTGTTTGGACACAATTCTTTGTAGAATATTTGCAATAAAAGGCAGTTTTGAAATTGGTCTAAAATTTTGTGGGAGGGAGGGATCTAAACCAGGTTTCTTTAAAAGTGGGTTCACGCAAGCCGTTTTAAAATAATCATGGACACAACCAGTAGATGGGGAGCTGTTGAAAATAGAGATCAAATGGGGCCCAACAGAATCTATTACTTTCAGTAAAAATTTTGTAGGTATTACATAAAGTGGGCCGGAGGACACTCTCATTTGTGATACTGTTTTTAAAAGCTCAGACAAGTCGATGGGATAAAACTGGTTAAAACTCTCTTGTTGCTGGTGAGGAACCTCTGAGTAAGAGGCAGTGGGGGTAATAGAGGCTCTGATTGACACCACCTTATTGGTAAAATAAGATAAAAACAATTCACAGTCATCATTACTTCCAGCTGAGGCACAAGGAGGGGTTGGGTTTACCAGCTGATCCACAGTCTTAAACAGAAACCTGGGATTGTGTTTATAAGTAGTAATGAGTTCAGAAAAATAGTGTGTTCTCGCATCCTTAACCATTTTATTGTAGTTAATTAATAAATCCTTCAGACTGAGGTAATGGACTTGAAGACTGGATTTTTTCCAGTCTCTGCTTTCCTGCATTCCCTTTTGAGGCTGCGAATGCTGTCATTTATCCAGGGTTGCTTACTAGCTTTAGACGTAGGCCTAACCTTTAGAGGAGCAGTAATATTTAGTGACAATAAGCAGATATGATTGAAGTGATCGACCAGATTGTTGGTGTTGGAATCAGACAGGTGTTGGCTTTGGCTCTGAAAGAATGCGCAAAACTTTGAAACACTTTGGTGTCAGTTGCATTAACATTGTTGGGGTCATCAACATGAATATTAAAATCGCCACAAAGAACAATTCTGTCATAATTTAAAACCAGAGTATATAAAAATTCAGGAAGTTCTGATAAAAATCCTCCAGGCGGTTTTGGGGGTGATAAATTATAACAAATATGATAGGTTGCAGCCCTCCAACTTCAAGAGTGAGAACTTCAAAGGAGTTAAGCTGATGATACACAGGGCAACTTTTTGAGCAATCTTGCTGGTGGCAAGTCCGACTATGTTTTGAACGGATAGTGGTGGTGTGGGGAGGGTGGCGGAGTGATGGGGGAAGGGGATACGGTAGTTATCTTTACTCATTGCCATTGATGGCAACATTGCCCAGCACCATTGCTCTAAAAGTTGCTCCGTGTATCATCAGCTTTAAATTCATCACAGCGTTTGCTATTGTAGTTCATTTTTTAAAATGCTTTGTTTCAGTTTAGTTCAGTCTTTTTTTTTTTGGGAATATGGGACTCTGCTGCTTTCTCCCACCTTTCGCCCGCCATGATGCCAGGTGAGGGGCGTGGGCTGAAAACTGGCACAGCTAAGAAACTGGAATATAAGATTTCACATCCACCCAAAATACTACTCTTGTGTAGGACCTAGGAAATAAATTGACAACGACTTTTACATTTACTCTATAATTTTAGTGTATTTTAGTAAGTTTTGCAAACAGACAATACAATTTCAATTATCATTTTTTGTTTTTATGTTTATTTCAGTTAACGAAAATGTTTTTTCACACCTAGTTTTCCGTTAATGATAATAACGTTGCTCTGGAGCTTGCAAGGATTTATACAGCTATCATGTACTGTTGACACAAAGACCTTCCAGCAGACTGTGAAATAGGTGGAGTTCGCCTTTATGGATGCTCTGTCTCCACATAGGCCACCATCATCAACTAACACTAAAAACAAGTTGATAGTTACTACGGGCAGTTACTGAAACCAACACAAATACAGTGATGTGTAGTTTTACTTTGCTTGTTTACAGTGGTACACTTTATAGGTTAAGTGCAAGTTGACAACTAAAGACACACAGTTGAAGTCATGATTAAATCTGACCCTTGTGGTAGATTTAAATGAAAAAGATAAACAAGCATCTGCATATATGATGATATATTTTGATATATATGTGTTATTAAGGTAATACACTGTGTCTTAGGCACACGTTGCTTCAAGATAAACTATAAAAAGTGACAGTTGTTGCAAGAATAGAAGGAATGCCTACTTAAGTGTTTTTAAAAGTGTAAGGCACTGCTCACAAACCATAATGCATAAATCACAGAAGGAGCTGAGGTTTAAGTTATTGCCAAAAATAAAATAATGCACTTCCTTTTTGACAGAGAAGTGTCATGCACAGTGATTATACCAGTTTGTTTTCAAAAGAAGTGAGGAGATACAGGGTTAAAGACTAAAAAAAAACACAGGTTAATGCTTTGCTGTTTTAGCCATCATGACACCACAGATTAAAAATAAAAAAACATATCTTCTAGTGAAACAGAGTGAAAAATACAACTCATTCATAAAAAAGAGGCTACTTATGTACGAATCAAAAGGAATGATTGTTAAGTGGTGGTTATTGCACTTTGTTTGGTGAAAATATTTGGATTATAATAGATTTCATATACACAAAATAGTTGCTAAGATATTGCTTTTGAGCTCGTTCACATTTAGAAAATAAATACGTCAACAGTTTTAAAGAAGAGTGGTTTTGTTGCATATGCAGTCTTTAAACTTTCCGCTGTCTCATTGAAGAACTTCCCTCTGATCCGTTATTTTCTTCCTGTGACCTGATGAGGGCACAAAAATGTGCATCATGAAAAATCACAAATATATTCAAACATTTAGAGAAATTGGCACCATTCCCACAGTACTCACGCTGTGTTAGTTTGGTTGTTCATCGCATTCTCTGAGAATGAGGCAGATCATTTCAAGTTAGAATACAACATACTCCACACTGCTGTAAACATGAACGTTCGCATGCTGTCTGACTACCTGCTGTGTTGTCTTTCTTGGACCGACTTCTCTCGTAGAGCAGGATGGCGGCGACCAGGATGATCACTTCGACCACGATGGCTATGAAGGGTTTCAGAGGCTCAAAGAAGCTGATGACCTTCGAGTAACAGTCACAGTACACACATGTAAAACTACTCCATTACAAGTGAAGGTCCTACATTCAAAAGCCTACTAAAATAGAAGCACAGCAGAATGTACTCAAAAAGTGACGTATAATTCCATTACTCCATGCAGAGTATAATCTAATATTGACGTGAAAATTAAATGTAAAATGATTACATGTGATTCAGAGTGACAGATGAGAAGTGCAGCACCCTGTGTGAAAGTGTAACAAGAGATCACTTTGTGAGAACTTATTGCTTTTCTGCTTAATGAATATTTCCATATTCAATCTTACATGTTAGTCTTTTATACCTGTGTAATGAGTAATCCTGCTCTGCTTACACACCAACATCACATTTTCTCTTACGCTGGTGTAAAAGCGGTCCATTTCAGATTATACTGGTCCTCAGTTCCCCAGGGTCAGGGTAAAACAACATGGGGGCAGTTCTCTACTAGAGGACGGTGGGCTCTCATGCCACCCCCATGAAGTCTGTTTGTGACAGTTTGGACAGAAATATGCAAACCAGTAGCCCGTTGGAGGTCATTTTGTAGGGCTCTGGCAGTGCTCATCCAGTTCCTCCTCACAAAAAGGAGCAGAGACTGTGCTGGGAG